AGTAATGATCTTTCACTTTAATGTGTGAATCCCTTGAGGAGGACAAGTCATACTCATAACACCAAGTTCTTGAGACTTCCTTAACTTCTATTCCTTTGACATCAATAAATTTCGTGTAAATTTGTTTGACTAATTACTGCCGATGCTGCGATCTAATGTGACATCAACAATGAAGCATAAATTCCCAACTTACTTCCGCCTGGCTTGATGCACACCTTGAATCGCTGAATCAATGCCCACAGAGAGTCACATAACTCAGCGAGACATGAAAATTAATTAAAGTTCTCCTTGGGCCTCTCGAAGGACTCGAGTCAAGTAGCCGCCGTATGTCCTTTTGCCTGGCTTTCACACGTTGTAGCAAACCGCTCTTCGCCCTTTTCCCATTTTTCCTTCTTGGCCGCAGCGTCAAGTGATGAGCCTTTTTTTCTGGGATCGGACTTGGGATCTGGATCTGGAATCGCAACCCTCTTCGAGTCCTGTGGGCTTGCTTCTGTTATTATTGTTTCGAGCTGTCAAATTTCGTTGTATCCTGCTATCCTTTATCTTTTCTTTCGTGTAATTGTATTAATCACAACAACACATTTGTTGCCTGCCACCCCTTTTGCTCCTTCATTATTATTGTCCTTCTCATTTCTGGGTCTGTGTGCCTTGTGTCCTGTCATTTAGTTTTGACTAATTATGCAATTTGTATGCAATAAAAAATATTAATTGCCCGCGCCCTCCGCTCCTCTTCTCTACAGAAAATCAACCAACTCTTTGATTTCTGTTAAAGCTTTGTTTATTTATTTTTTGCTGCTGCAATTCTGGGAGTTCTGGCTGTGGGGCCATGGCTCAGCCAGGGCTATGCGAATTTTCCAGTTGGCTTAATCAGCGCCCTCATGCGTACATCAAAAATCAACGGAGTTCGGCTGCAAAAAATGTAAAAAATAATATTGCAAAAATATTTCTCTTGGTCTACCATCAAGAAGCGGGAAGAGTACCCCATCAGAGTTCATGAACTGCTGAAAAATTCAAATTTAAGAGGTATCTAAACTTAAATAATTATTTGAAAGCAATAACACTGTAAAATCTCCTTTAAACAACATTAATTAACCGTTTAATTGGCTATTTATCAGCAATTTGAGGCAGTCACTCAAATTAGCTTTCCTCACGTACTTACACACCTAACTAGGCCCACTTAACAACCACTCAGCCGAACGGCACTTTCCCACCACATGGTCCAAACTCAAATATGCGAGCCACCGCAAAACCACAACTACCGACAAACCACACACGCTGACACACACACATGGCCCACTCACAACAATAACACAAACCATTAAATGTGTAAATTTCATAAATTAACCAATAAAGTTGGCAATTATTTCCATACAATCACGAATGGGTAAAAAACAACACGGCGTGCAATCAAATTAAGTGAAATAAAGTAATAAAATGAAGAATGGAAAATATTTTCATAAACTGTTTGGCGGGTCATGGAGTCCCATGAAAACTTTTTGCCTGTGGAAAATCAAAATAAAAATGGTAAAAAAAAGGGGAGCGAAAAACTTGGCAACTAAAAATCGCTTCATTCTAATTACTTCCTTTCGCGACTTCGCTGAAGGACTTCCGCCAGCAGGACACGTCGTCTAGTCCAAGTTCAAGTTTAAGTTCGGGGATTTGAAGGAGTAGAGGAAGGGGGAGTAGCTCAAGAATTGAGAAGGGGGCGTGGCGCATAAAACAATCGTTTTGTAATAAAGATGAAAATTTTATTAAAAGATGTCGGAAACAGATGTCGCCGGCAGGACGAGAAACGAGAACGAACTCCGAACCCTGGAAGAACCACCCAGAAACCAGAAGCCGGAGACCAGAACCCAGAGACCAACCCACTGGGCAGCAAAAGCCAACGACAACACACACTTTATAATCTTTTATCGCATTTTTTCTACTTGGCTGACACAAAGAGCGTATTTATGCGACTGTTAACGTTATGAAAAGCCCATAATTTCGCAGCCACCCCGAGAGTTCTGGCTTCTCTAGTTGCCGGCGAATATAATAAAAATAATAAACGTTGTCCTGAAAATCGATGGCAAACAGAATTCGCATTCATTTCATGGATGCTGGAATGGTGGGCGAGATGGGCGAGGTGGGCGTGGTAGGGGACATGGCCGTGGCAGCAGCTGATATCGACAGTTAACTTGGCTGGAATGCTTTTTCTATATCGTCCTTCGCATCGAGTGTCGTGTATAAATGTTTGCGCTTTATTATATTGCCCAACCACGCCCCCGCCCTCTCATATATCGAGTCAACCAACCAACCAACCACTCAACCACCCATTTATCCCCCCCTCCCATCTTGCAGCATCTTGTGACATTTTACCTTTTTTTCTGCCACTACCGCTGCTGCTGCTGCTGCTGCTGTAGCTGCTGCAGACGATACACGATAATGATATCCATATAATGATGCGGCTGTCAACGGCATTCGATTCCACATACGAGTATTCCCCCAAAGAGCCACCAAGTTGTTTATTCGAATCGGAGTGGCATGTGGCAGCGATGACAGAAAGAAGTCTTTGAATTTGGCCAACTGAATTTACCTGCAAGGGTATTTTGGCAAAATAAGTAAAGGAAGTAAGTTGGAGCTTGTCAGCAGCTTCAGGCCTTGATAAAGCAGTTGGAGATATATGATAAGCTTTGATATTATCATTATGATTCAGAGTTACGGCCTCATCTGTTTGTGAAATGTCTTAATATACTCGAATGTAATCGTCCCTCAAAAGAGATTGATCAGGGAAACAGATCAATCCAATTAGTTGCCTTTGATCTTAACAGCTATCTATGACTTCCTTACCCAACCATCATCATGAGTCCCAACAATGAACCCACAAAGCCCGGCCAAAAAGCCAAACGTTAACAGCACAATAATCCCCAATGCAGAGCCAACAACATCATTTACATATTTCCAATTCGGCAAACAAATTAAAAAAATAAAAACAAAAATAAACCCAGGCCATGGCAACACTCTGAAAAACAATTAAAAGTTTGTCTTCAACACCTCCCTGCCCCCCGTTTTGGATGGGGGATAAGGATATATATTTTATTTTGAGGGGAGCTTCCGACAAAAGCCTGTTTCGGTGACCCCTTTCATTTGTCAAAAAACAGCAGCAGCGCCATGACAATGGCAGATGGAATCCCAATCCGACTCCGTATCCGTATCCGAGCCGGAGCCGAAAAATCAGAGGAAGCTGCACATTCAACCCACTTATCAAATAATTGTCCTCATATTATGGCGACTACAAACAGAGATGGAGATAGCGACTCTAAGAGAGAAAGAAAGCTTTTTTCCCAGCGGAGTAGAGCTGCGGGGAGATTGTAGAAAATGGAAAATACTCTGCTAGAGCCATGTGTCGGTGGCAAATAAAAATGTAAGGACTCTTCAGCGCACACAGCCACACAAGCCAGCGGAATCCTTTGCATAAATGATGATGGCATGATGAGAACTTTTAATCATTATTATCACATATTTATACGCTTATATGAGCATGTTTTATGTACTCGCTGCCAGCAGAGTAGCACAAGAGCCGAGGAGTCGAGGAGCCGAAGAAGTACAAGAAGTCCTGGCGATACGGGGTAATCCTTTGAGGCGTGCTCCATATGAAAGCAAAAAGCCACAAATGGCAGCGCAAAACAATCTGAGCTGGGGCCTTTGTTATCCTTGTACTTCTTCCTATTGTCGAGAGCACTTCTCCTCCTTTCAGCTCCTGATGGGTTTCCAATTCGAGTGAGGCCACGCCCCTCCAGAAGGAAGCCCTCCTTCCCCTAGCACTTCTCCCAGCCATAAGGGTTGCTCTTCTCTACTCTGCTCTCTCTCTCTCTCTCTCTCTCTCTCTTGCTCGTTCTGTACACACAATAGAGGCCAAAAGGACATACACATCCTGCCGCTTCTGCTCTTTGTCTAGCTCCTAAGCTTACATAACCGATGCTCAGCCATTTTCGCAGCTACTACGCTTTCCAGCCAGAGTAAATAAGTCATCATTGTCGATAAACTCGATTGTCGTCATCAACGGCGACGAGGACAACTAATTTGCGGTCATAATAAAAGTTAATCTACTGACTCCTTGGCCGCTTGCCGGGGATTCATTTTTTCCATGCCAGCGGTGCCTGCAACAAATTGCTGAAACCAATTCAAAAGTTTATGGCACCGGAAGTCCAGTTCTATATATGTTGCTTATTTTTGGAGAGTTGTATAACCCTTTTTATATATGTATAAATATACTACTATAAGTTTATTTTTGCGAATGGGTATAAAATTCTCAATTTTATGGAAATAATTTTTGAAAAGTAACTGCAAACTAGTAAGAAAAGAAATTATTCTCACATTTTCTAGGTTATAGGAAATAGTTAAGTGTCTAAACTTGTCTTACAAATAATAAACATACTTATAAAACTTAAAAAAATATAGAAAAAGAAATAACACACACTACAAGTTCTTTTAATTTACATAAACTTTCAAACTGAAAATCATTTCAATTTAAGATAAAAGGTTCATAAGCCCTTAATCCATAAAAACCCATAACAAATATCACCTCAAGTTCCCAATTTGTCCCACTGTGCCACACCGTGGAATAACAGCACAAATCTAATAAGATCGAGCCAAATTCAGTTCAAGGCAGCGAGTGGCAAAGGCAACAAAACAAGAAAATTAAATTTTTATTGTTTTCACACAAATAAAATCAAATAAAAAGCGAACAACAATAACGAGCAGGCAAAGGCTAAACAGGACACTCACGCACACACACTCGCGCACTCACACAGGAGCGACAGAGAGAGAGCGAGCTCAGAAGGATATACATAAGGACGAAAATCACGTGCCACACAGACGACACGGCTACTGGGCAGGAGAAGCGGACCAACCAACGGCGAGCAACCCCCGTTAACGGAATCCTGGGCATCCGGATGCTGCGTCCTGCGCCTGCCAGGATATTTTGCCACTGCATTCAGTTCGATTTGAGCCCTCGACGCGAACGCGACAACTGGCGGGAATAGAAACTAACAAAATTATACGGATAATACAGATTACGGAAAATATAGAGCAGCCAGCTCAGTCGCGTTATGTCTACGGCCTTCCTCGTGGACAGTCTCCTGCACGCCCAGCAGACCTACACGGAAAGCCAGCTGAAGTCCAGCCTAAGCGAGATGCTCCTGTCGCGTCGTTCGGGCACGGATTCCGCTGATCCGGCGGAGGCCACCGAGGCCTGTGGCTGCTCTAAGTTGCGCGGCTACAAGTGTGATAAGTGCCGCGAGATTCGTGCCGAGAGTGTGGACAGCATCGATGAGATGGACGAAGACGATGGCTCCTCCACTGCGGATGAGATTATCGCCGATATTGGCAGTGTTGAAGGCGAGGAGCCGCACATGGATCTAGACGAGGAGCTGGAGGATGAGCTGGCCGAAGTGGACGAGCCCGTGGCAATCAAATTGCCAAAGGTGGAGCCCAAAGACTCCAGTATTCCGACGGTGGGCAACACCATCCTCAAGGATACCAGCAGCAAGCCCATTCTCAAGTTCAGTGTCAGCGCGATCCTTGGAGATACCCGAGAGGGAGTTCGGGTTAGAAATGGTAAGTCATTAAGGGAATGGGAATTGATAGTACTTAAGATTAAGGAAATTTACTGGTTTATAATTTATTTGGATTTTTAATTACTATCTTAAAGCTTTGTGAAAAGCTTTATTTTTTTCGAAGTAAATATTAAATAATTTGATTCCATTTCTTGATTTGCATTTCCACAATTATTCATTGATCAATCAAGTAATTAACGTTGTAATACTTAATAAAACCCAACTGGATTATTGGTTTATGATAAACTTAGAAATTACATTAGCATGTGTCCGTGTTACTAACAATTAAACAAAATGAATTCAATGGCAGATATGGCTTTGAAAATGTAACCCTATTAAGAATATTGATTTTTTGTATTTATTTATGAATATTCATTCAAAACAGAATCTAAATTTAATAACTTATATTTTTATATTATCTTTCAATTAAGTTTTCCGCTGATTATATTTTATTTTTCCACTTCTAAAGTGGGCTTAAATCCGTGAGATAGCTTCCTCCAATTAGTTCGCCGCCGCGGGCTTCCTCAAGAATGCCATTAAAAAGGCTTGGCAATTAATTTGCCGTGGCTAATGCCAAACAATAACAAGATTCCACATACAATTGCAATATGAAAAGCCAAAAGAATAACAAATCTTGCCGAAACTTTGCAGACTCCTTGCGAGGGGAGTGAGCAAAGTCCTGGTACTTCGCAGTTGCCTTAGTTTTTACGCCGTGATTTTATTGTGTGACGGCCTAAGCCCTCGGGGCGTAGCTCCGCTGAGCTGGCAGGCTGTAAAAACACAACCAGACCTAATCATGTTTAAATTATTGAGCCGGAGCCCCTAGACAACAAAGCCGCATAACCAGTTTGGCACATCCGCACTTCCGTAAGGATCTGCATGGGATATAGAGTGCGAGAGATCCTCTGCCGCGTGCTGCTTACGACGGGGGATGAGGTTGTGTGGAATAGGTCCAGGGTGTGGGACAAAAGATAGGCGGAACCAATTGGCCATCAGTCAATGTAACAGCTTTGCCTTGGCCTTTTTTTTAGCATTGTTCGCATCTAGTCTAGGGATTGTGGGATTTAATTGTCATGTGATTATGGCATCGCGGTTTACTTTCCATATTAATGAGTGGGCCGGACCTACTGAATCGTCTGTTTTTTATGACACTTTTTTATGGGAATTTATTGGCGATCTTTTGGGGTTAAATCGTACAGTTTTTTATGGCAAACGCGTGGCGAAAAAAAAGGTTGGTAAATCTAGGATTTAATGACTTTATTCAACTTTTTAAGTTCGTTCTTTTAGTCTTCTAAGCACTTACTAGCATCCTCTGCGCATTTCCCTCCTTCACATATTCCAACTAATTGCCATCGTATTTCAATCAATGATCCATATGCTGAATTCCCCTTACCAAAAACTGTTTTTTGCCTGAGAGAAAGCCACAAATGAACTTTTTTTGCTGGGCCATAAACCAATAAGGCCAAAAACTTGCCACATTTTCGCAGCACAGATGCAGATACAGAAAAGTGGGTAAACCGCCGACGAACAAAACAAACAAAAGCGAACAATTATAACTTAATTTGTGCGCTCATTAGGCACACATGTGCCACAAGCAAGCACACACTCCTACACGCAAGGATAATCAAGGATTCCTATATAGAAATGGAAATTTTCGGGGCCTCCGCAAAGGCAAAAAGCTGTTTTGGCCACAAGAGTCAAAAGCATCTCATTGAACGCGCACACATACTGCCGAAACTAAAGAGGCGTTAATTCGTTAATTGTTTCAGTTCTCTAATCGAATTAAAATCATATCCTGGATATCCTGCAGCAACTGCCAGCCTGTCAGGATGTGCGGGAAGGGGAATGGGGGACAGGCAACGATGGCGGCTGCCTTTTTGGGGTGTTTAATTAGAAAATGAAATGCAGCCACACAGGGCTCCAAAAACGAGATTCCATCCCCCGATATTCTCTACATACAGATATATATATATATTTAGTATATCCTTGTGCTTAACCAAAGGCGCCAAAGTTTGCTCTCAAGGTGCGAGCTCTTTCTGTGTGTGTGTGTGTGAAGTCCTTTATCCCGAAGTTTGTGTTTGCTTTAATTATGCCAACTTCACACTGACACTTCAAAGCAGATTTCATTTTTCCATTGTCTGTGAGTGTGTATGTGTGCGGGGGGGGTTTAAGGGGCTTTAGGGGTGATGGCGCCTGTCTGGAAATTGGCAAGACAGCACATAACACGCTTCAGCGAGTCCTTGAGTATGAGCCAAGTCTTTAGCAGATTGTTTTCAAGGCTGACAATCTGACAATCTGACACTTCAAAGTGGTTTTACATATAAGAGAGGAGGAAATTTAATAATTAAAGAAATAACAACAGCAATTATAAATATTACCATATTAACTATTTATTTTATTATTTATTACTTTATTTTCTTACTTAAACTTGAGCTTTTTTTCTCTTGCTATTAAGAGCTGCATACTTTTGGGGATAATAACAATTTGACCTGTCTCTCAGCTTTAGTGACTCATTCATCACTAATGGTTTTGGCACTCTTCCTCCACAGAGTTCATGCAACCGCAGCATATATGGCCTTATCTGCAGCAAAACTTCATGCAGCAGCACTCGCATCAATATCAGCAACACCATCAGCATCCCCACCAGCAACACCAACAGTTGCCAGTGCCAGGACATCCGCATCCGCATCATCATCATCACCAGCACCCGGGTGTGGGTCATGCCCACTTTCCGCATCCCGCATTTCTAACGCATCAACTGCCCCCGCATCAGCAGCAGCAGCAGCAGCAACAACATGTACAGCAGCAACATGCACAGCAGCAACATCAGCAGCATCCCGGCAATAGTTGTCAACCGCAAACCGCATCCTCGTCGTCGTCACCTGGCAGCACAATTAGTGATAGCGACAACAATCACGGCGGATCGAGTGCCACTGCCAATGGCAATTCTGGCCAGGATGGTCGACCGCACGACCTGGCGAATTCGAGTCCCGACGTGGACAACGCCAGTCGAAGATTAACGCAAGACAAGCATCAGCAGCAGTTGCTAAGCGCCGGAGCAGGAGGAGGAGGAGGAGGTGGTGGACATGGCCATCCGACGCCACCGCCACCGCCTCCTCCGCCGGTGATTGCGAAGCCCATGCCCAGCCGCCCCACGCCCTTCCTGCCGCACACCCTCAACCACCCGCACCTCCACTCGCTGCTGGCGCACTGCCGCAATCCCTACATGAGTGGTAAGAGTTGGTCCTTCTATACTCCAAAAAATATCTGTCGAATATCCGTTTATTTGGGGATTTGCTTTTATTTTTCTAACAATATTTGGTCGGACTTATAAATCATATCCTTAAATAATCCTAAATAACATTTTGAATGTCCTGATAAGAACTATTTAAAAGTTAAAGTTACCAATTTTATTATATTAAAACAGAGACAAGATTTGATTTTCGAGTGTATGGCTCCCTAATTGCTGTCCACACATGACAAATCCCCAACCAGATCCGACAGCCACCCGCTGTGCCCATTAACAAGTGTTTTGGTCTAATGCATTTCCTCTTTCCTATCGGAATAATTGCAGTTGGCGCCCAAGTGTTTCCCCTGCCTCCTGGCCAGGGATTCCCCTGGGCTCATTCGACACGTGGTAAGCCTCGACGTGGGATGATGCGACGTGCCGTCTTCTCAGGTGCGTAGATGGGGACCCCATTTCTGTCCATAAGAAATAAATTTAACTGTTGCACCTCTTGCAGACTCCCAGAGGAAGGGTCTGGAGAAGCGGTTCCAGCAGCAGAAGTACATCAGCAAGCCGGATCGCAAGAAGCTGGCTGAGAGATTGGGATTGAAGGATTCTCAGGTGAGATTGATTATGTATTTCAGGTTTTGATTATGATTTTTAAACAGTGAATCATAATGTTATATAAGCAGCCTGGGAGGAATTCATTCATAAAGACAACTTAGTGGGGAAAACTCCAACTGGGGGCATAGCTCAGGGGTAGAGCGTTCGACTGCAGATCGACAGGTCCCTGGTTCAAATCCGGGTGCCCCCTTGTTACTTTTTTGCTTTGTACTCATTTTGTTTGTTTTATATAGTCCAGTAAAATAGTATATCTTTATTGGGAGATCAATATTTTGACTATATTTGTTTATATAAATATCAGAATTTTAATTTAGTCAACAGCAGTGACATCACTATCTCCCAATTTGGAATATTATTGCATCACTTTTTTATTTCAATACATGAACAACTTTTAAAAAGTGCCTGAAAGCTCACAATATTTTATTTAATTGGAGATAAGAAGAGATCTTACTTAGGAACTGAAAAGGTATATAAAGAACATGTGCTATTTAATCTAAAAACTAGTTTCTCTTATACCTTTCACGCCATATGAATTACTTTTACTCAGGTCGTTAAAGTTTTTACACCTCATATATACATCCCTCTAAAGTTGCCCCAACAATGCCCTCAATTAGCATTTGCAAACCCATTTCACCGTGCCATTATTTCAGAAAACAGAAACTTTACCCACTAAACTCTCTAAATTCGGTGTAAGCCATCCATAAACAATCTGGTACCAAAACAAAACAAAAATCAATAAGCATAATGAGCACAGAATTATGCCATTATAAAATTATATTTAACCGCTTATAAAAATTTCGTTTGGCTAACTTTTCGAATCAGCTTTAATAAGCAGACAACAAAAGGCGACGGGAGCATAATATAAAGTGCCCGAAAAAGCCGAAACAAAAAGCGAACAATGTGTATAAAACTCCGCCCTGGAAGCTCTCCGGCAATGGCTGCGCACGGGAAAATGGCAGAAAACCGGAAAAATGGGAGGGGAACGGCAGTGGGGCGGACGCTCCTTGAAATGCGCAGTCGCTTTCTTATACATATCCCAGATATACTCTTATATATACATATAGAAACCGATATGTACTGGCCGGGTCGAGGTGGAAGTATAATGAAATTATAACGAGCTATAAGAAATTCATGTCGGCTGAGACGGCGGGCAGTTTTCATTGATTGCCGAGATTCCCATCCGGCGGCATGCAATAATTAAATTAATTCTCGTAAAGGGAAAAGGTCCTTTTCGCCAGTCACATTTTCACATGGCTGCGAGAAATTTGCGTGGCCAATTCGGTGCTGTCACAATGTAATCGATCACAACTCAATCAGGCCGGCAGTTGTCAGCGAGTCACCAAGTCATCCCCAAACGGCGATGATGATGATGAGCCCACTGATGACTCACAATGTCACGCCAAATTAGTGCAGCTCTTTTTTGTTCTTTTCGCAGCATTTCACTGGCTTTCAATTCATAAAAATTTCATAATTGCACAATAAGCGTGTCCAGTTGCAGGAAACACGAATTCATCAACTCATAGCCCAGGTCACGCCCCTTCTTTTGCAGAACTCATTTACTCGATCGATCACTTACGCCCTAATGATCTTATAATCTGAGCGTCTCTCTGGAAAAGATCGCCTAGTAAAATGTGTCACTATTTCATTTGCTAAACTGTTGCCAAGCCAGAGATTGAAATGATATAATGTTCTCTAGACCTTGTAAGATCACTGAACGTTGAATAATGGTAATTTTTAAAGTGATTGATTAGCTGTGACTTGATTTAGTTAACTAGGCGGCTGCTTTAGATTTATGGAGTTCAGTTAGTCGTAAATAGATCACAGAACCCACCCGAGTTGTATATTTACATTGTGACAGACAGGTAATATCATAATGAAAAAATAGAAAAAAGGGCTTTGACTTTTAAATATTATCCAATACGGATTTTCTTTGAGTTTCAAGCTTAAATAAAAGTTTCAAGTTTCAAAATCTGAATTCAGATTTATTCTCTAGAAAACTTTCAACTATTATTTGATGATTATTGCCCGTACTTCCATCCATAAATCCAGCTTTATATACTTTGAAAACATTTATCAAATGCAGTTTGTCAAAGTGTGAAAATGGAGGGTAAGGAAAATGGGAAAAACAAAAGCAAAGAAAAACCTCAGTGAAAAAAGGGCTAAAAGAAAGCTTGGTGGCAACGGCAAAAATGTGCAAAAATGTCAGAAAAATTCGCAATCAAATCGCAGCGGGTGTCCAGCTTGCGGTGGCTGGACCTGGGAAACTGGACACAGAAGGCAGCATTCTGGACAGGGGATTGGGACAAAGGACAAGGGACATACAAAGTGTTGGCCAGCCGGCGGCAATGGGAGCTCCATTAACGATGGCTATATAAAGGGATTGGTCTGGGGTCCCTTTTCCCATATGGAGTGGGTGATGAACGAGTGCGGATATTCACACTCGAGTGACACAGGTTGAGTGTGTGTGTGTGTGTGTGTGAGAGTGAGTCCTTGTGACTGCTCGAGTGTGAGTGCATTGCACTGCGCCTAGTTGTATGCAACATGATTTAAGAGCCTCCATCCTTGCTTTTGCTGCACTTTTTGCGGCCGTTTGTTGTTCATTTTGCAGCACAGTGCCCGCCATAAATATAACAGCACACTGCACTGCCCTGCAATTGAGTCGGTAGACTGGGACCATTCGACCATTGTCCAGTGTCGCGTGCCTTGCGGTTTGGCAAACGCTGCATTGATGTTGCCCAGGTGATTCATCATTTCGAGTGTTGTTCATTGCAACGTTTATTGCGATTTTTACAAACGCACTCGAAAAATCGCAGGCACCCAAAACCGCTAGCGTTTATTGCAGCCAACGCGATTTATGGGCGGTTTGGCGCGGATTTTCTTTTTTGTCACTGCAAGTCACGTTCTGGGTGTTATTAACTGGGGGATTGGATAAGGTACTACCTATATGATACTCTCATCTAGAGTGGGTTATAAGTTGGCAAGTCAATAATACTTATTTAAATATGAAAAACTAGTTAAGAAGAAACTAAGCCCTGTAAGAAGAAAGCTGCATTTAATCACAGACACTTATTTGCATTGATTGAATCAAACGAACTGTGTGAGCCAAATAAATAACCGTTTTATGACTGGAATACGATATCTACATAATTCCTATAAATAAATACACATCTCGCACACTCCTTCAATCAGTTACGCCCCCTTCAAAGCGAACTGCAAGTGACAGTTACCAGCCTCATAATCCGCTGGCTATAAATTTAATTGCCATTAATGACACTCCAAGACAAAGGCAGTGGGAAAGCGGGAAACTCTGAAAGGGGAAAGCGGAAAGAGCTCAAAGTTGGCCGCAGGCAACTGCCAAAATCACGCAGCGGAAATGAAAACATCTTGAGGCCAAGTGTGATTTGCATTTTTAAATCAATGCACAAAGGCTCAAGGAATCGCGCGCGGCAGGACTAGGATCGAATATATATATATACGAGGATATGTATTTCAACCCCCGCACACACGTGTCTGGCTGGCGACCCTCTCTTTCGCACAGAGCAACTTTTTAAGTGTCGTGTCCAAAACAAATTCGTCTGTTTTTGATTTGTCGAAAAATGGGGGAGAAAAAAGGAAGCCCGGAGCTCGAATAAAGGAAATTTCCCGCCAACGCTTGGCAATCAACTGTGGAATTTCCACCCATTTCCCCACCCTCTGTACCTCTCTTTTGGCATTTTCACGTTATAAATATTTTTATTTTCCATTTCGTCTGGATTGTCTTTTGTGTTGTTTTTTTTTCCGGATTTACGGGGGGATTCCCACAGCAGACGCGTGCAGCATTCTGTTTTTATTTGGTTTGCAATTTCGATTTCTTTTTCGCGGTGGCGACAGAAGCCAGGGCTTTAAATCAAATTGCATGATAAATAATCCCTGAATGGGAATCGAGAGTATTTAACACACGATATGGGTTGGTCTTTACGTTGTTTGCATTGCTTTTTATGGGTCTTGTTATCCCTTAAGGGCCGTTTAGCGGTTGGATTTCCAGACAGAACTGATTTTGATTTAAGATAAAGAGTTTAAGAGATAGTTTTTTAGTAAGGAGATAAAAGGATATTTTTTGTGGGTACATAAAATCACAACCAGTTCCTACAAAATCTCAAATCAAAGAACACTTAATGTCCATGACTCAAATTTCATTTCAATTTGCCAATTTGCAACCCTCCTAGCCGAAGCGATTGGCAAACATTAAAAACCATCATTCGCAGCTTTGGTTACAAAATAAATTGTTGACAAATTGCTAAATAAACGGTCGCCGGCCACAAGCCAAAGTATTCTGCAAGCACTTGGCCAGCTTCTGAAACAATAACCACAAAAAGAGGGGAGGACTCCAAATGGACCATGGTCAGTAACCCAAAACCCGAAACGCACTGCCAACTGCTGCTGGAATGACTTTGGCAAATAGTAGCAGACTATTTAATACGCTATTACGCAGCATATCGAATGACATCCTGGCTCTCGAAATGGGTTGACAGCCTGCCCCTGGGATGGATATATATATGTATATATATGGTCCACCCCCCACATTCAGCCTCATTAGTTAACATATGTTGCCAAAGTCAGAATTCGGGACTCAGGACTCCATCTCCAGCCAGCCCATCCTCCCCCACAAAAACAACAGCTTGTGCTCATTGCCCAAAGTCAATTTTCGGCAAAAAAAAAAAGAATAGAGAGGGGTGGAAGGAAAGTTCCGAAGAGGGGAGCAATTTGTAGCCCGGCTCTTTTGGGTGGTTTATAAAAACTTCAAACAAATTCTATGCGCGTTATGCTGGCGTCGTGTCAGAAAAATATGTTACTTATCGTTTTGGCTTACTGTCAATGGAATGGGCTTTATTTTTGTAGGAAGGGAGAGTTATATTAAGAGGTTGGGTCTTTAACAAAGTGGCAAAGCGTTTAACTGGACTGCGGGATGAGATGAGTGCTTAGGAACTCAATTTCGGGAAGATTGAGTTTATCCTAGAAGAGGGAAAGTTATAACTAATAACAGAACCAAAATTTAATTAATAACATTTGCCTAATTCGACTACAAATTTAACTAATTTGTTGTCAATTTATCAAATGCCTATAAATATGTTGACATGACAAAATAATCCCTGAAACTACTTTCCCTGCTCCACAAACAAAGTCAATTAAGCGAGTCCGCTAATTACCATTCCGAACAATTGAATTTTAGTTTTTGTCGCCGCCACAGATATTTGCATAAATTAAATTATTATATGAGCGGCGAACAAAATAAAATGAACATTTTTGTGTTAGACAATAATTGAGGGGTAGAGCACTCGTTACATGGCCAATATTTGTTAACAAGGCCGGACGGACTAACACAACACAACTAAACTCGACTCGTTTTTGGGGTCTATCGAGTGCAGTTAATAAATTCTATAATTTCCGAAGCGAGAATTTCCGTTAGTTGTTTGTTTTTTCAGTAGTATTCGACTTATCCAGAACAGGTTTTTGTTTAACCTTAACTTATGGCTCAAATCTCATTAAACAAGGCCCATGGAACAGGGAACGGAAATGTCCAGACGCCTCTTCGGGGCACACTAAATTGCACGCTTTATAATTAATTTCCATCAGAAACAGACGATGACGATGACGACGGTGGTTCCAAAGTGGATCCAAAGTTCCATTCCCCCTTACTATTCGACTGACTTTGGGCTGGACCCATAATCATTAATCTTATCGCCGCCTGAGCTTATTATTTCAATTGCTTTGGGGGTGGCGGAAGATGGGAAACTCTGGCTTTCCCCAAGCCAGACGCTGGAAAACTCAATGACCGGAAGTAAGCGGAACAGCAAACCGAACACTAAGAACCCAAAAATCAGGCACGTGCCATTGGGAGTTGGGTGTTTCTGTTCTGTTTCCCTAAGGAATCTCTGCGGTTAATCGGTTGTTCAACATGTCAGCAGCTTTTTGTGGCCGCTGTTTACTTATTTATTTATAACTGCCAGAGCTTAAATCTAATTGAGGGGGGTGGCCTTGGTGCCCCTCCCCAATTTCACGCATCAATTTGCTTTAAACTTCACATCAAGTCACAATCTAATTACCGCCGGAGAGTGGGACTCCTATAAATTGTTGCAAATTGCTGGGCTTGGCTACAAAGTGCGAGTGTCCTGCTGTGTCACTGGCCAGCAAGGAGCAGGAGGGGCAGCCTGGGCTGCACAATAACTCAAAAACAGCTCATGGAGAGGTGGGCCAAGGATGCTGCCTGGCGAGTGGCGCGTCCTGCAATCTGCTTCAAGTGTCTCAGCTCGCCTGTCAAATGCAGGGAGCCACCAGGGGCCGGAAAGGATACCAGGAAGTGAGATACAGGACTTACAGCATTTTTGCTGGACCAACTTTGCAGCCTGCACAGTGTGAGCAGAATTATTAAGCAAAATATTAAACGTAAATTTAGGAGCTTAAAAAGGGCAGGGATTATGAAATAGGGACTAAAATTACTTATTGAACATCGATTAGTTCCATTAGTGAAAAACAATAGAATTTCCTGTGTACTTAAGGAAGCTCTCATCTTAGGCTGAAGTTCCCCTTGAAACTCTCAAAATTTCTCCATGTTTGCCCCACTGTGCGGCCTCTAATCAATTTGTAGCCGCTTTGGGTAAATGTCTCTAATTTGCATTTATTATGGATATGCCCGTCGTCTGGCGATGGCAGTGCAGTTCAAACTTCTGCCCGGTCCATGGCCACGCCCACACACACGACCAGCCCCCAACTTGGTTCTGTATGGGTTTTAGGCGAGATTCAATTTGCCACAGAAAAGTTTTTCTGTCGGATGGCCGGCAGAAGTTTGTTTTCCCAAAAGCGGAATTTGATACCCACACCAGTCTTACGCCCCGGTGGCCATGAAAAGTTCCAGAACTATACCCCACTGTCTCTGCCGGGACTGGCATTCTCGTTTTCCTGCTTCGGACAGCTTTCCATCTACTGGACAGTCTCAATTTACCCATTTCAATGAAAACACATTTTTTCAACCCATTTATCCTTTTCATTTGCAGGTGAAAATTTGGTTTCAAAACCGACGGATGAAGTGGCGGAACTCTAAGGAGCGGGAGCTCCTGGCCAGCGGCGGTTCCCGCGACCAGACGCTGCCCAACAAAAACAACCCGAATCCGGACTTGAGCGATGCTAAGTGCGATCGTCCTCTAACACCGATTTCGCCCTCCCTGCTGTCGCCCAATGGTAGTGCCTCGCCACCACCAGGAGCGGTGGCCAAGGACGAACCACCGACTGCTGCTGTTACGCCGAAGTCACCGCAGTCCGCCAGCAGTAGAAGTTCCCCCTCGACGGGCTATGGCCTGCAGATCAGCTCACCACCTCCGCTCCTAACCAGCCTCAAAATGGGCGATCAGTCGGCAGCAGCCACTCCCACTCCAGGACCTGCCACCACGGTTTCGTCTGCTGCCTCTTCGCCTCCCGGTGCAGCCGAGTTTCAGGCCAAGATCAATGCCGAGATGCAGAAGCAACTGGTGGCCGCTGATCTTAAATTCAAGCTGGAGAACAGCATCCAGGAGGCCAAGCAGCGGCGGTTCGAGCAACTGCAGCAGCAATTGCATCATTCTCCGCATTTCAGTGCCATGAGGGAGGTGGAACTGGCCGCCGCCGCTGCAGCTGCGCAACTGCATCATCATCACCAGCAACAACAGCAGCAACAGCAGCAGCAGCAACATCACCAGCAGCAACATCAACAGCAGCAACACCAGCAGGGCTCCGAGTTCATGAAGCTCTACTACGATGACTACGACGACTCCAATTCGGACAGTGATGAGGAGATCAGCGTGACGTGATTCGTGACTGCCACTGGGCGAGGAAATGGAACTGCAGGCCGTGTATATATATGTTTTAATTGTAAATTTATTGATGCATTCAACTTATTGTATTTAATATGTGTATAATATTTTTTCGAATTTAAATTCCGAAACGAAATAAACTTCTTTGAAAAATCTATGAATCGTACCCATCAGAACGACCCATCTGAAACAGTTTAGGAAGATATAGGTATATAGATTTTATTGGATGCCTTAAAAACAAACTAAAGATAAATTCATTCGTAGTAACATTAGTAAGTGTGTGTATACAGAATACTGAGCCAACAACCTCGGCTTGGACTTAAGAACTAGAAATCACTCTTTCGACTAAACTAGGACAGTTAACAGATTGCGACTGGTCTTTGTACATGGAGGTTACAGGTTACACAAGGAATAAACCGGTGGGGACTGACGATCCCCAGCCGACTTCGGCTTTGGATTCGAGTTCTATTCGTCGTCGATGCGAATCGCATGGTTAACATGTCCCTCGTCACTTGTAGACTCAAGGGGATCGGGAGTAACCGCTGTGGTGGTGGTTACAGTGCTCGTCGTGGTGTACTGCACTTGGGAGTCGCTCTTGAAGATCTCCTCAGAAACGGCGGGATTGTCGATGCCCTTGCTGGTGATCTTCAGCACATTGCGTCGCTGGACAAAGTCAATTACCAGGGAAATTAGCCAGCCCAGGAAAACCGTGAGCAGGCATCCGATCATGCTGTACCACATGTAGCTCAGCCGGAAAATGGGCCACGACCTATAATTGATAATGATTAATTTCTTTTCTTTTTTAAATTTCGATATTAAACTTACGTAAATCCTCCCTCCTGAATGACTTCCACAGGCTCTGTCAGCAGATCTCCAATGACGTTCGTCAGGTTTACTCGGCAATCGCACTTGTCAATGGATGTGGGCAACGCAGGTTGCTCTACACTCGCAATCTGAGCCACCACACCCACAAATATAACCAGGGCCAGAGATAATAAACCTCCATAGAAGGCTCCCTTAGTATTGGCCTGCTTGCAGGCGATTCCCAGGACAAAGAGACCCAAGGTTACACCACCAATAAGACCATTAAGGGTCAAGGTGGCCTGCAGGACTCCTCCGAGGTGCTCCACAATGAAAACCAAGCCAAAGGAGGCAATGCCAAAGCCCAAGGACATCCACTTGGCATAGGTGGCTCCCTTTTCAGGGGAGATTTTGATGTTCATGCCATTGACCAGAAGATCCTCGCAGGTAACAGCGGATAAGGAATTCAGGGCAGAAGCTACAGTTCTGTTAGGAAAGAGGAAAATCTATTAGTAAAAAACGAAGGACTCTCTCGAAGATTAAAAACACACCCCAAACTGGCTGCAAAGATACCAGCCACAAAGATTCCTGCCACGGAGTAGATGTGCTCATAGGTATTGATCACATAGTAAGGCAACAACTGATCCGTAGCCGAAATACGACCCGCCGTCAAAGGATCACAATCCGCATAGTGGGTGAAGACCATTAGGCCGGTATAGAAGTTCAGCAGGAACACAGCTATAAGACCAATGATAGCAAATCCGAGAGCAATTTTGGCCAGCCTTAAGGACTTCAAGGACATGCACTTCTGAACGGAAGCCTGGTTGGTGCAAAACAGCGAGGTCCAGTAGAAGAAGCCACCAATGACCACAGACCAGACGGTGTGACGGGTAGTGGGATTGGGATCCATGCTGAAGGACAATGAAGGATTAGTAAGGACCTTCAAAAATTTAAACCTGACTTACTTAAAGAACTCCAAGCGGTTGTGTTCGGCAGCAGTCTGAAAGACCTGGATGGGAGTTCCACTGTAAAAGCTTCCAAGACCCACGATCAGCACCAAGGATACAGCCAGGACAGCAGCCTGAAGATTAAAATGTGTTAAATAGAAAATTGTTATATCTTTTTCTAACCAATAACTCACCTGGAATGAATCCGCTATGACCACAGCCTTCATACCACCCTGAGAGGAGTAAAACACGCACACCACATAGATCAGGATCACGGCTATTTTGGTGTCCAAGCCCGTGGCTTTGGAAAGAGCAATTGCCGGAGCTAAAACGGCAACAGCCGTATAGAAGCACATCTGGAAAGAACCTTCTAATTAACCTGAGTTCTTTCTGGATTGGAATAGGCTAACCCACCTGAATAACGTACAGCACTGCACCCAGAATCCTGATTTCCTTGCCAAATCTTATGCCCAGATATTCATAGCAGCTGGTTAGTTCCATTTTGAAGTAAATGGGGTAGAAGATCTTGACGGCCACAGGGATAACTAACACCATAGGGATAACGATGAGCACAAACTGGGTTCCTTGGAAGTACATCTCGGATGGATTACCGAGCAACTCGATAGCCGTTATAAAACTTGTGGTAAGACTGAGGGTAACTGGGAAAATGCTCATCTCGGAGCCCAGCAGGAACTCGTTGGAGGAGCTGCCGCCCTTCTGGAAAAAGCCATAGAAAATACCGATTCCCAGCGAGATCACCAGCATGCCCAGCAGGATCACATAATCGTATCCTGAGAAGGTGGCCTTGTGACTAGGAGCACTGCATTCCTCCAGATCTTTCGAAGCAGGGATCTGTTCGTTCCTAAAGGATCTCAGGAGCAGGGTGGCGGCATTATCGAACTCCACATGCTCCTGGGATGAGCTCGGGGATTCTCCTCGCACAATCAAATACTTCTGACTGGGATCCAACGGGGCAGATCCTGGAGCTGGAGACTTTTCCTGCAGGGCCAAGGCGGTTATAGAATGTGCCAGGGCGCACAGAGTCAGCAACTTCAAAATGGTATCCTGGGTGGCGAACATCCTGGCTCCTGAGCTGCGCTCTAAAAATAAGGATTCGGGGCGAGATTGCAATAAGTTTTCCGGGAGATGACTTTCTCCAGACGACTTTCCACCCGGCGATGTGTGTGCAAACTGAAACGAGAAAAGATCGGAAACGATTTAGACTTAGATCATTGCAAGATCAAGGTTCGCGAAGAGAAATTGCACCGAGGCGGCACGACAAAGCCATTTCGCACCGTGGGTGTCAGTTTTGGTGTCATCTTGGGAGCCCATTAATTAATTAACCGAATGATCCGGAGGAGGGGAGGCCATCGACCATTGGCCATTGGCCAGCGCCTCATGTTCAAGTACAAATATATTATTTCCTTATACAAACAATTCCATTTGCGGGTAATTGTTTTATGATTAATATGTTTTCATCATTGGGGCGGCAGTCAAGGCAACGCTTTGGGGGTATTTCTTTTTTTTCTTAAACGGAATCTAGAGTTATTGCTCCGTGAGAGTTACAAGTGGATGGGCAAAGATTAGGCTCCAGCAGAAAAATGCTTTCAACTGGTTGTTGAGTCGCAAAAACTGGTTATTTCTGGCCAAAAGAAATCGCATGGATGATGTTTGGGGTTAGGAATTTGTTAAGGTATCAAGCATTATGAAGGAAATTCTCAAACATATTTTACGATCTTCATATTCATTACACAAGCTTTATCTTTGAGTAACTTGAATTTATTGCACATTCCTGGGCCATTCCTTAATTGTTAAATCATAAAATACCCATTTTGCAACTGATAAACGATGGCAATCACTTCCCATCCAATTGATCCCAAACACTCGACAATTATTTTTGATGAAACTAGAAGCTCTGGCGCCTCCTTCTCCCGCCTTCCACCGCCCCTCCCACTTTCCCAACCACTTGGCCAATCAAACTATTAAAGAAAAGCTGCTCCTGTGCGACATGGACATATACACACAGAGCTCGTGTGGCAAACAAATAGGGCTACAAAGTTTGAGCGAAAATGGTCAATGTGAGCGCGCCAATCGAGATTTAAGCGAATTCAACTGGTTTAGATCGGTGGCCATTGGACTGAGCCGGATTGCGCCGGTTTGGGCCAGAAATTCGCCATCGCTCGGGGAATCTTCGAAGAGCAGCAGCAGCTCCATTTGCCGAAGGCAAGGCCGGAAACTAAGAGCAAAAAGCCTAACCAGAAGAGAGCGATGGTCAAAATGGCAAGCTACACAGAGAGAAAATATGTGTTTGCAGTATCTTTTTGCTGTATTTTATGTCTTAATGAAATTTTTTGGTTCCAAAGATTTTCTTAAGAAAAGTTAAGAATATAGAAAGTTCTGTAAGGTTCTTTTAAATGAAACCCAAAAACTGATTCGACAAACAAATTAATTCAAAATACAAAAAAAGGAAAAACAGAAAATAAAAATAATAACAAAATAAATAAAGACTTTCATTTTAAATATTTAAATAAGTAACATAAATTAATTAATTGTTTTGTTTGTCAGCAAGGTGGCTTAATGTGAAACTTGTTTTTTCGACTTGAAAGAACTCCCGGGTCGTATGAATTATAAGTTGGCGGTCTAGCCAGGCGTCTGGCTCAATCTGTGGACTTTTCCCCCTAACCATTCCAAAAGCCCTTCGTACCCATTAAGTGGCATCAGCATCTTCGCGGCCAATTAATATGCGTGTTTTGGTTTGTCTTTCTTGGCGTTTTTATCTTGTCTGGAGAACCCCCGTCCTATTTTATTATTATTAATCTAAACAAAATAAATCACTTGACATGATTTGAGGCGCAAACTGTTGGCAGAAGGTACAGATTGCAAAGTGAGTGCCACAGATCAATCAGTGATATTTTCCCCAGCCTAGACAGCTGCAAATATTACCTAATACAAGATAAATATTCAATCATTTTTAAACACATTCTGAATGGGAGTTCAGGTTTATTGGCTTGTTTGTCAAATGCATTTCCACAAACTGTTTTTGCAGTCATAACTTAACTTAGTCACACGTTGTTTATGCCAATTTTTGTTAGTTAAACTTTTTCCAAGTCTACTTTAAACTACGAGTTTATGCAAACTATAAATTAAACTGTCTTAGGTGTTTACTCTGGGCGGCTCTTTCTCAATCATAACAAATATAAAAACATTATTAATTTGCATAAAAATAAACTTAAACTGCTTTCACTGAAAAACTCATTTACTTCCTCACCTTGGTTAGTTATTTTCCAATTCGTAAATTTCAAAATCCTTCGGTTGTCGTTTTTGTTTAGCTTTCAAATGGAATTAAACATGGAAACCCGTATCTTAGAAATGTTCTGAATTGTATTTGCAATATTGTGCCACGATTGTTTCTGTATTTCATTAACGTGTTTTAAGTTTATTCACAAAACAAATGTATTTAAGTTTAGTTATAATCCTTGAGGGGATCCTTTCAGGCCGTGTCCTTTGAGAATTTTCCTTCACTTTGAGCACTATTTATATTGTTGGTCTTCCTGCTCGATAGCGCTGTTCGAACGTATTGACAATTTTTAAATGAATGAGTTTTGCAAGCGGCCGTTACGCTATTTTATACGACACCCAAGGCGGCGCAGGCAAATCACAGATCTCGGGCTCCCAGCTTCGGGAACCCCACAAATCGAGATCTCTTCGGGGTCTTGAAAAGCGAAGAAAGAGAGAAAATCGATCTAAGAGCAGGCGAGGCGACGCCGGATATACGATCACCGATCTTCATGGCGAGAGCAAAGCCTATATGATATGTTAGTGTGGAGTGCTAAGATATAGGCAACTTATTTTAAACTTTAAAATATTGGATTTGAAGTAGGCATTTTCTGAAATAGTTAAACTATATTACTAGAAAGACTATTTGATATAATAATCTTGTGTAATGTATGATATCATTTCATTTGTTACACAAATTATGTAATATATCTTGTTTACAACTATAGAATAAATTTATATTGATTTAAACCATATAATTATAGTAATTCAAGCTCAATCAGTTCCGGTTTCGGTGCAGGAAGTTATATTTGATGGAAATATGTTTGCCAAACCATCTTTAAACAAAGTTTCAAGTGAATTGATGTCAATTAATTTCTGCATTGCTACATTCTGATTCATAAGCTAAAAGTCATTTCGATTTCGGAGAAATCTCTGCAGAGAATGCCGGAAAATATCTGGTATTTTCCAACTCCTTTGCAGATCTCACGAACTCGATCATCAATTGGCTGGGCGACAAGTAAAGCTAATTGAAAAGCGTTGTAAACAAAACAGAAAAGTTTAATTGCTGGTTCTTAGCCAGTTTCGGCTTGCGTGATGGGTAAATATTTCCATTTGGCTCACCCTTTATTACTTTTTAAGTAACTCGAGCCCGAGCCACAAAGGAAAAAGTGCGCCAATTAATAATGAAAACGATTTTATCTCTCGTTTTCGTATATTCGTCGCCTCGCCTCAATTGCTGGCTACGTTATGTCTTACTTGGATAACGATAACGAGTTCGATCTGGTACGATTTTGATCAGGCATGACACTCTTTCTCCCGCTAATAGAAAATTATTTGTTTACAATTCTTCTTCAGCACTTTTAGTGTTTAATTTTAATTGAAATGTATTTGGAATTAAGAATTTAAACGACGCCGGCCAGTTCAAAAAGAGTTTCAATCACAATAAATTTGCATTTAGGTCGAAGAAATGGGCGATGCACGTGGATCTCATGGAAGCGTCTTATGCATCCAAATCAGATCACCGAATATTAAACTCGAATTTTAGAGGGTGTACTTCCCCCTTAAGCGGAAAATCTCCAAATCAACGCCTTTTGGTCTAAGGTCAGTGAGTTAGCTGGGCAGATTGATATGCATTTAAGCATGAAGCGTGTTGCATTAATTAAATATGCCCGCACTGTCGTTAACTAACAGTCTCATGTAAATCTTGGCCATTCAACTACTTTAGCCGACGAAAAGCAGTTAAAAGCAGTTCGGCAAATGCGACTCAGTGTTTAGGCCCGAAACGATCCCACAGCCCACAGCAAATCCAGCAAAAACACCACAAACTCTGTTTCTCGGATGCAAGTGGACGGAGACGTCACAAAACTGGTCGAGCCCCTCGACTGCCAAGTGGTTCTATCGGACTTTGGTCCGGTTGGGTGGGTATCACAACATTACAGAACGTTTTCCCCAAACATTTACAAGATCTCCACACGTGCTGGCTGCGTGCTGTCGAATCGAAATATACGCAATATCAATAAAAAGAATTTTTTTGGATTCTGTCGATTCCGGCATTACACAAGATCTTCGGATGGAGACGGCCGCCCATCCATATTTATGAAATGAGAATTGGAGAAAGCGTAGTAGTCAATTAATGTCCAAATGAGAGTGGGCGTTGGCATTGCTGAAATACTTATCAATAATAAAAGGCACTTTAAAAGAAAATAATACATTGGGAATGTGGTTAGAATATACAAGTAATATGTAAGAATATCTAAGTATTCCACCAACTTAAACATCTCCTAATCTGTCTCATGTTCTTGTTGTTCGAGAATCAAACATTTCTAACTTGGTAAATTCTTTCACTGTAAAAGTACTTTATATGGTTAATTGAATGTCTCAATTAGTGGGTGGCTTTCATTTGGGAACTGCGAAGTCATCGGACTTCCGTCATTTTATCTAGAAAAGCAATAAGCATTTTACCCAAACGGAATTAGAATTAATTACACTTAAGAAAAAGAAGACAAAAACAGTTTTAAATCACTTTTCAAAAAGACCGCCTACTGTTCTGGCGTTGCCACTAGGGGATTGCAGAGCTACCAATATTTTTCATGTAAATATCAAAGCATCTACATCAGTAATCAGAAAATCGATTATTATCATCAACTTTTGACCATCTCTAGTTTCCAACATTTTTTAGTAAACATATTAGTATAGTATAGCATTTATAAGCGTGGTTTAATAATTTATACACAAAATGAGTGCTGCAGCAGCCGCCTCTGGAATTCAGAGCACAGCGGGTGCCATCCCAATGCGCAATGAAAAGGGTAAGTTGTAAAATTCCATATCCCATGCAATTGTTTGTAAGCTGATTATAAACATTCTATAGGTGAACTGTCCATGCAAAAGGTGAAGGTGCAACGGTACATATCAGGAAAGCGCCCCGATTACGCCAGAGCGGACTCCAGTTCGGAGGAAAGCGACGAGGATGACTTCATTGACACCAGAAAGCGTCTGGAGCGCCATAAGGCTGAACGTCACAAGTTGGAGCTTTCCCGTCGAGGAGGAAGTGGAGAGGGAGAGGAACGTGCTGCGGGAGAAGGCCTGGAAGATGAAGATGCCGAGGTGGACGATCCCCGTCTTCGAAGATTGCGCCAACGGCCCGTAGACATGGAAGACATGGAGCGCGAGCGTAGGGAACGCCACCGACACATCCACGAACCGGAAATCATGGAGAGCGACAGCGAGGACGAGGAAGTAGACGAGGAGGCGCAAGGAACCATTGAGCGTGGCACCAACAAAATCACACTAGCCTCCGAATCCGACACAGATGCAGAGCTCAGTGACACAGAGCTTGAGAATCGGCGCACTAAGCTCAGAGCTCGGATGCTGCAGCAACAACGCGAAGAGGAGGTGCTACAGAAAGAGGATGAAAAACAGTCTGAGTCCTCAGAGTCAGAGAGCTCAGAGTACGAAGAGGAGACGGAAAGCGAGGAGGACAATGAACCCCGCCTGAAACCGCTCTTTGTCCGAAAAAGAGATCGTGCCACCATTCAGGAAAAGGAGCGGGAAGCTCAAAAGCAAAAGCAGCTAGAGGCGGAAGCCAAGCGGGCGGCCAAGGAGCGGAGAAGAGCCACTCTGCGAATGGTCGAGGAGAGCGTCAAAAAGGATCTAGAAAAGACAAAGCCAGAGACCAACGAAGCATGTATCGATGATGTGTGCACGGATGACGAGAATGATGAGGTAGAGTACGAGGCCTGGAAGCTGCGTGAACTCAAGAGGATGAAGAGGGATCGCGAGGAGCGTGATAAGTGAGTACACACTAACTCTCTTTAAAATTTATTTTTAACGGTCACCTTAAATTTCAGTAACGAACGCGAAAAGCTTGACATCGATCGAATGCGCAACATGACCGAGGAGGAACGACGCCAAGAGCTGCGCCAGAACCCTAAGATGGTCACCAACAAGGCTACCAAGGGCAAATACAAGTTCCTGCAGAAGTACTATCATCGTGGTGCCTTCTACCTGGACGAGGAGAACGATGTACTGAAACGGGACTTTGCACAGGCCACGCTGGAGGATCACTTCGATAAGACTATCCTTCCCAAGGTGATGCAAGTGAAGAACTTCGGTCGCTGCGGTCGCACCAAGTACACGCATTTAGTGGACCAGGACACCACCAAATTCGATTCGCCCTGGTACGCCGAATCCTCCAGTAACATCAAGTTCCATAACGAACGTGCCGGCGGAATGAGGCAGCAATTCGACAAGCCCACGGGATCGAAGCGAAAGAAGATGGAGTAGTTAGTAATTATGCAGTACGTATATATGATGTATTTGACAGGCCAAAGGAATGTAACAACAAAATTCGCAAGGTCCACAATAGGGAAGCAACCTCAAGAAACATTAAACAAAAAATATATAATACAAAAACTGATACTGACACTTGGTAAGGTGCTCTTGGAGTTGCCTTGTTAGACGTGATGTTGATGTAGTTAATCAAGAACTGTCTGTTCTTAACGCTAACACAAATTAACAATATCTTAAAAATAGGTTCCAAATTATGGCGGTTAAAGTTTAAGCTTATACTCCTTAAGAAGTCCCGTGCTCTGTTGAACAAGCGCCTGCATTACGGCCTCGGTTTTGACAAAATGCACTTTCTCGTGATTGCTCAGACGTCGCTTGATTTTTGTGTCCTTACTTGTGGTGACCACGTATAGATCCACACTGACGGCCAGCGAAGGCGGTTGAGTATGTACTTTTCCGCCGGCACTTTGAATAATGACTATGGAAGATTACGAAAAGTTAAACAAAAAGTTGGATTAAGTGCCAATAGAAGAACTTGCCTTTCATTTCAATGGCTTTCGGCACGATGTCTTCTCCAAGCATAAAATGCAAGCCATTCAACAAACGAAAGTGTTCCAGTACAGAAAAGGGTTTAAACTTAAATGTCTCTTCGAACTTGGCATCATTAAACAGATGTTCTTGCTTTACGTCTATGCATCTGGATTTCTTCACGAAATGAAGCCAATTGGATGAAAGAACCGGTTTGTTGGAAGCAATGACCGTGAGGAACTTGTAGGTACGCTCGCCTTTGTCCATGATAAGTAGATCGCACTGTAGAGGATCTTCGGTTATCTCCACCACATCTAGAAAGTTAAAAAGTGTAATTAGAAATACAAACTGACTTCCAACCAGTGATTCCTTACGTTTTAGGGATTTTAAGACCGATTCCAGCGCCTGACGATTGCACATCGTGAACGCTATCCTTATTTTGCCTGTCGTTTTGGCTTTCCTCACATATTGATTAAAGCCTAACACAAATGAAAAGTAAAGGTTAAATAAATTTTCGTATTAAGACGGGACATATACCTTTAAGGGGATCCGGATCCGGTTGACTATATCTTGTAGTCACTGCAAGGTAAGAAATTTATATATAAATCAAAGTCTGTGAATAATTTGAATGAAAGTCGAACTTACTTGCGCCAGATCGATTCTTTAGACCTTCCTCGTCAGCTGAAATGTTAGCCTTTTTGGCAATGACAGAGCTTGATGGTGATGGCTCTTCACGGGATGCTACCCTCTTAAGGCCTTTTCTGGTAACTGAGCTATTTGATGACTCATCTACAGATGGTGTTGTGGCAACTCGAGTTGCTCTGGGGGCACGTCCTGATGCTGACAGATTAGACCCTTTGGCAGCAACGGAGCCAGATGATAGCTCTGCGCTGGTCGGCGTCCCCGAACCAGACTTGGGAACAGTTCCTATAGAACTGTTTCCAGAGGTTGATGAAGTCAGTGTTTCGTCAATGCTTACTCTGGATATACGCACAACAGCACGTTTAATTGAGGTATGCTTTGGCTTTTCTTCAGCATTTTCAACGATTGTTTTGCGTCTGGTCCTTGCTGGTTTTTCTTCATTAGGGATATCGACATCTTTAACAATTGTTTTGGTAACCGCTGCTTTATCCGCAGATGCCTTAGTTGACTCTTTCTTGGGTTTTCTTCCTTTTTCCACTTTGACAGGGTTTTCTGCGTTCGGATTCTGAGCATCGTCTTCGCTAGCTTTGCGCCTGGTTCTGGACGATGGCTTTGGAATATCTTCAGGTAAATCAGCCTTGCTTATACTGGCATTTACCTTTCTTTCCTTTTCGTCATTAGAAGTCCCGGATTGTACTTCAGTAGTTTGGCGCCTGGTCCTGGACGTTGGCTTCGGAAGTTCTTTAGGTAAGTCAGACTTGCCCAAACTCGCATTTTTGACCGTTGTTTCATTTTCGACATTAGATGGCCCAGAATCTACGTCAGTGGTTTGGCGCCTGGTTCTGACTGTTGGCTTTGGGATATCCTTAGATAGTTCCGCCTTAGCTGCGGCATTCTTGGCCTTTCTTCCACTATCTGCTTTAAGAGTTTTTTCTGCCTTGACAAGCTTTTCTGCCTTAAGCTTCTCTCTATCCTCAACGCTATTTTGGCGTGTTTTTCTAGTCATTACTTTCGGAATTTCCTTAGATGAGTCCGCTTTACTTGTCTCGGCGTCCTTGGCTTTAGTTCCTTTTTGTACATCAGACTTGTCGTCATCTTCAACGTTGGTTTTGCGCCTGGTCCTCGTTTTTGGCTTGGGAACATCCTTGGATATATCCGCTGTGTGTGTCTCTGCAATCTTTGCTTTCCTACCACGCTTGTTTTTTGGCTCCTCATTACCTTTACTCTCCATCTCAATATTCATTTTATTACTTACTGAAGAGGTATCTGAAGTACCAGAGCGGCTATTGTCTTGTTTTCTCCCGGCTTGCCATTGATTGGCCACTTCTTTGAAAGACGCATCTCCTTCATTACTCTTTTCCTTGGATTTATCCGCTTTGCTTGTATCTGCTGCAGTCGTAGCTTTTCTAGCACGCTTGTTTTTTGGTTCTTCATTATCTTTACTCTTCATCTCAGCACTCACTTCATTATTTAATGAAGAGGTATCTGAAATACCAGAGCGGCTAGTTTCTTGATTTCTCTCGGCTTGCAATTGATTGGCCACTTCTTTGAAAGGCACATCTCCTTCATTACCCTTTTCGTTTTCTTCTGGAATCAAAACAATCGGATGTTCAGTGCATACCGATTTGTGTAGAGCTGAAAGTTTGAATATGAGTAGAGAGTTCTCAGATTCTGCAAGAACTTACGTTCTGAGTTTTTGTCAACTGAATTTCGTCGTTTTCGCAAATTACATTCCAACCTCTGAGATCCCTCTGAGATTCGACGATTTTTTCGGCTTGCTGTGAATTATGAAAGATATAAAATTATTTGAAAAATGCTCAATTTTCAAAGACCTACGTGTTGCTGGGGGAGATTCCGATTTGGCAATGCGTTTGCGGCTGCCTTTGCCAGTTTCTTCACTACGCCATCGACTTTTGTTGCTCAAATCACTAAAAACACCTTCGATCTGGCAAATCTGAAAGATAAAAGTAAGTAAGGTTTTAGTAATTAATCCAAAGTATAACCTAAACTCACCTTTTGGTAGTGATTCTTATCCTTGATCACGCAAGGTTTGAAGAATTTAATAGCCTCTTCATTGGGATTTGTAGGCGAAGTTACTACAGTCCCTGAAATCATTTCTTTTAGCACAGCATCTATCTCATCAGGAAGCTCGTCAAATAATGTGGAACCTGGAATGCATTTGTTCTCAGATTCACCATACAAGACTTCCTTGATATTCTCACCTGATGCTTTTTTGGCACTGTCGTGGAGTGAAAAATTTTCCTTGTTGCCTAAACTCAAGGAATCCACATGAAAAGGTTGTGTGGCTACAAAGTCCTGGCACCGAGGGCTATTAATGTTGTCCGGGAATTCCTGGGCGGGTATTAAATCTTGGTTGAAAGTATTATCTTTTGTATTCTCAGGCAAGTCTATTGCTTGTGGTCGGGCGAAGCAAAACGCCTGGGTGGCTACGAAATCTTGATTTGGTTCATTGTCCTTGGATGTCTTAGGATCTCTATTTGAAGACAAGTTAAACGCTTGAGTGGCTACAAAATCTTGATTGATTTCACCATCCTTAAGTTGTTTTGGGTCTCTATTTGGAGGTAAGAGAAATGCCTGAGTAGCTACGAAATCTTGATTGGGCTCACTATCATTTGAGCCTCTATTTGGAGCCAAGTGAAACGCCTGTGTGGCTACGAAATCTTGATTGGGTACCTCGTCTTCCTCGTTGTCACTTTCGAACAATTTTTGTCTTGGAAATCGTTGAGCCGCTATTATATCCTGACTGCTGGTTGCATTTTCTTCGGTGGGAGTGGCAGAAGGAGTCTCAATGGTTGCCACAACCACCTGTTTGATTCCGCCAAACAGGGGTGTGGTTTCATTAGCTTTATCCGCAGGACGAACGAAAGGATCTGGACTACCGGAGCCAGCACGCGTGTCCCTTCCCATGATCAAATCGAACAGATCAGGGGTGCAGATGTTTCGATCTACGGATGGAGCGGTCATGTCGGGTGTTATGCAGGCATCGCCTTGAGGCAGCACATTATCAGCTTTGGTGCTGCTTAAGGCACCGCACTTGGAATTGCTGGCTGACCAATTCAAGGCACTCATTTCAAAGTCAGTGCTGTCCAGTTGATCTTTGAAGGATATAGATATATAGTTTACATTTTTTAGTCGCAAAGCCTATAATTACCTGGCTTATTATTCTGTTTCTCAGGGATTTCCACAGGTTTTGTTGGTGGCGGCATTGGAAGCAGAGCGTCGCAGAGGACCTGCGAGGAATCGAAATCATCTATTGCATCCTCGTTGTAGTCCTGGGTGCACATACGTATAATGCTGCCCTGGGATGATTCCACATCGCTGTCCAGCCTCAAATCTTCTTGGTCGGTAACAGGCTTAGAAGGCAGCACAGGTGGGAGATCCGCCAGCATGTCCTGAGTTTCAGGGATCATAAAGTCATCACCCAGTGATTCCTTTCCAGTGGTCGAAGGCCTCCCCAAGGCAATCGCCTGGGTCTCAGGTATGAAAAAACTATCCGCCGTGGTGTTGGCTGTCGTATTGGCCGATGGTGGTTGCGTTTCTGGTATGTCCAGACTGTCCAGCGTCGAGTTAATTGACCTGTTCTTGAGACATTCCCCAAATCCGCTACTGTCGTGGGCCTGAAGAAAAGATGTGAATTACATATAGGTCCCACCTTGTAATGTAAAGAGATCTCACCTCATCCTTGTCTTCGACGATCTCCAGCCTGGCTTCCACATTCCCGAACCGCAGCTTCACCTTGCCGCCAAGGGTGTCATCCCTGCCTATGTCAACCACAGTCTTCTCCTGGTCGTTGACGAAGATCTTACCCACTAAGGCTGCCAGACGGACAACACCACGGCGCAAGATACAGGCAGTTGCGTGGGCTAGCTCCATGGACTGAAAATATAAAATAGGACATTAATTCCTGGGTCATTAAACATACATCTCCACTGGCTCACCTCATCGGCGGCGCTGATTTCGAGACCCTTTTTTCTACCAATTCGGTATATGATATCCGGTTTAAGGAGCACGAAAGGCAAGCCGTCAACCGCCAAGATTACATCTGGCGCCGCCATCGTGAAGCGCGCGCAAAGCGGAGTCCCTGAATGTTAATTGAAAACAAAAAACAAATCTGGTTTGCGGGAATGATATTCTAGAACGGTCACTTTAATAGAAGGCGCTTAAAAACAATCGATATGTTGAAAAAATGTATCAGGGCTGCAAAACGAGGTAAGGTAAAACATTTACTACTTAAAAAATAGTTAGGCAAGGCCCACTAAGACTTTAATTTAAATTTAATCTTGTAACAATATCCGATGTAAATACATTTAAAATTCCAAAAATAATTAGTACTCTTTAAAATTGAACCGGTAAAGAATGGTATTTTTTGTACGGTATTTTTTCTACCGTTGTCAGTGTGGTTACACTGGCTGCAATGTTTACGCGTGGTGTCATCACTATAGCAACAAACAAAATAGAATAATGCTATAATAATAAATCTAATTAACGCATTTCTGACTGGCTGGACTCGACTATGAGTGGGAATGAGCTACACGGATTCGGACGATACAGATATTTTGCTTTTAGCGCCTAATTATTACACGGATATGATGAGCGCAGGCGCAGCAGCAGATGCGCAGGCCATGCCCCCACCTCCTGCGCCCACAAGTGCTGCTTATCAGTTTCTGAACCCCAGCAAGAAGTTGGAGCTGAATAACATTAATGCACGGTTGCAGAACATCGGACTAGATGCAGAGGATAATCGGGACTTTGAATTACCCTCTGATATATCTACAATATCCATGAACACAGTGAGAAACGGAGCCGGACGGCCAAATCGGGAGCTTCATGGCATGATTCACTCCACACCAAAGAGTGGTTCTGTGGAGCCTCTCCGTCATCGACCTTTGGAGGAAAACATTCTCCTGGAAATTGATCACTACCTAGACGAAAACAAGGCGAATCGATGGCAACGGCAGGACCACCACCTCCATCACCACAGTGATGATCATCTTCGAAACGAACGGTTGGTGCATGAGAATCATCCGACAACCACGTCTCTGCCCAGTTTGCGACTTGCTTCTTCCGGTGCTGCTTCAGTGGAAGCTGCCAGAGGAGCCCGAAATAGTATAAACGAGAACAAGCTTATCAGTTTGAGTGATCTTTGGGGAAAGAGCAGTTTGGGTAGAACTGTTCTAGACAACAACTCTCCCAACCGACTATTGTGTAGTCCTTCCTTGAAAGAGGAACAACTCAGGAGGCAGCATCTGGAGAAAGCTGTCCATACCCTACAAACCCAACTGCTGGAGTATCAGCAGCGTATCTCAGTGGCAATAGAGGTGGATCGCTCCAAGGATGCTGCTCTCAGTGAAGCAGAACAAACAACTCAGAGTCTCAACTACGAGGTACAGCAACTGCGTGATGCTCTACACAGGCTGGAGGCGGACAGGGGCGAATCTCAGGGTAAGATTGATGCCCTCCAGCACGAGTTGTCGCAGGCGGTCAACTTGGCCACCAAGTTCCAGGAAAAGAACGATAAACTGGAAGGTGAACTGGAACATCGCAGGCAAGATGCCAAGGATTGGGACGAAAGACTAGAGCAACTAGAAATGCAACTGAACAGTAGCAAAAAAGCGGAGGAGCTATCTCATGCCGAGCTTAACAAGCTGAGAGACAAGTTTGCCAAAGTAGACTACCAGCAGGAGAAGGTAAAATGGCAATGGGAATGTGCATTGATAAATTCTTAACCCTTTATCGTTTAAGCTAAAAGCCCGCATAGAGGAACTGGAAAAGGACAAAATCACGCTTACGCACCAAAAAGAAATGCTTCAGGAATATCATCAAAAGCAAAAAGCTAGAGCGGATTCTTTAGAGACCCAACGCAAATCCCTCCAAGAAACACTGGCTAATCTAACCGAAACTGAGGTTGTTCTTAAGACCCCGTAAAATATAATCAGTTATTAAATATTATCATTCTTTTTTAGACCAATCTTAAGAAGAAATTAGAAATACAGCAGAAATCCTTAAAGCAGTATTACCAACAACAAATGGAAATTGTGGTGGCAAAAAAGGTGCAGGAATTTCAGGACCAATTGGACAAAAACGAGGAGAATTTGAAAAGCGAAGCTCGCGAGCGAGAAAGACTGATAGCCGAGAGGGCTGTAAAGCAGCTTGAAATGATAAACGAGAAAAACAACCAGGAACTGAATCTCATCCAGGAGAAGCACAACGAAGAGGTGGAGCTGTACCGCCTTCAGCTGGCAAATGCCTCTAAAAAGATCGATGAATTGGATCTTAAGCTTAGTTGTTACAAAACAAAGCGGTAAGATATAAAACTAATTGGCTGTTGTGATATAAAATGTAATTTTTAATCCCAGTGCTGATATCGCGGAGAAGCTTCATGGAGTAATGGAGGCACAATGGCAGCAGGCACTTGCCATACTCACAACGCCTAGTCAAAACTCCTTGATGCAAGCCAGTGACACTGAAGGGGAATCTCCTGAACTAAACAATGCACGCATGTATCCGGAAACACCCAAGACAAGTAAATCGCAGCGCAGCAACAGCACGGAGAAGAACAACCTGGACGTGGTGGGAAAACGGGATCCACCCTCCCCGATGGACAAGCTGCAGGCCTATATAGAGCTGCTCCTCAGCAAGTCGCCCAGTGACTTTGACAAACTCGATGAGATCTTAGCCATGACGGCCAAACAGGGAAGCAAGCAAAGTAAACCAAAAAGCGGAAGTGGCAACTGTAAGCCTCCACCCTGGAAGTGCTGACAACAAGAGAAGCTTTTGATAAGTAATATTGTATTAAGTATTACCTTTAGTTTGATAAGCATTAGTCCCTTAAGTACTCCCTACAATGTATATTGTATTCTGCTTGGAATTTTTGAAAGTAAATCCATTAGTTTCTGCAAAATATGATTGTTTATTTGATAATATCAACAATTGAAGGCAGCGCAGGCATTTGTATGCGGCACGGGGAAAACAAATACGAAAGTTAAATAATAATAAAAGTTTTGGTACAAAAGGTGTATTTTACAGCTCTATGAGACTTAAGCCTACAAATCTTATAGTCTTTTGATATATCAATTTTGTGGCGGTCGCAAGGGAATGCCTATTTTAATATCTTTTAGAAGGAAACATTCTCGGCGACCGGACAAAAAATTGTTCTTTGATTCAGCTGCTTTTTATGTGTCTGTCATTGATATGCTTTGAGTTTAGTTATTGAGTATGTTGAGTGCTCGAACTGATCCTATTCCCATCAACCTTATTTGTAGACGATTTGTGGGAACTTCGGGGCATTCCCATACAGACCCTCTGACTCCCAGACTTGAATGTGGGATTCTCGCGTTAGCACCACCAAATGCTGATGTGTTGAGTAGCAAATGCTATAATAGGGAAAACCATTAGGCATACTTTTATTCGAATATTAAGTCACCCTAGTCCTTACCTCCGAATAGGCGAAGTGCCTGTAGTCAGTTCACTGACAAAGCTTAGGTTCCAACTGGACCAAAAACGCACAAATCCGCCTTCCACAGCGGTGGCTATCACATTGACTCCCACTCCCTCCTTGATGTACGAGTAGCAAACGGCTAGGATGCGATCCTCGTGCACTAGATGCTGCACATATCGCGCGTTGACCGAGTGCAGCCTCAAAATAGACTTCCCGTTGGGATTTACATTCACATTGACGAAGTCATCCAGGCTTTCTTCCGTGACCTCGAAGCATTCGTCGGCGACGTTGAGGGAATTGGGTCGTGTCGCCGTTGTTAAAGGCTTTGCATCCGAGCTGACGGTTGAAGGTTGGGGCAGAGTATGTACTGTGACAATGTCCCCCAGCGTGGGACTGATGGCCACATGCGTTATAGGGGATTGATGAATTTCTGCCGGGCGGGCAATTGTTCGTACATAGCTCCAGCTGCAGGAGTATTATAGTTAAGAAACTAATATAGAAAACATTAAAATGTTCACTTACTCATTGAGATCCCAGATAACGGCTATGCCATCGCGTCCCGCAGTCACGGCAATCTTAAACTCCACGGACAGGGTTATGCAGGTGATTTCGTCAGTGTGCCGTACCAGCAAAGTGGGTCCCAGCCAGTTAAGATCGGCTCCATCCCTCTGGAAAGCGTCGCTGCCGGAGATGTTGCTGGCTGAGTTAACTGATGATGCAGAATTGGTGGAGTGGAGATTTCCCATCTCATCCACCCTTTCCGGCACACCGCCTCCTATTCCTTTGCTGGTCATCTTCCGGAAGGCAGAGTTGTAGGATAAACTGAATCCGCGGGCATAGCTCTGCCTGCTCTTTGCTGAGGCTCGTTGCTGGGAATCCATTCCTCCAGTGCACTTGTACACACTTATCCGGCCGGATTTGTGGCCAAACCAAAGTTGACTCGTGTTCACATCACATCCACAAGCAGTGATATCGTCGAAGGTCCCATTGTGCAGGAGGTTCTTTGGCTTGGCCTGTGGTTTGTTGAGTGGTTGGATCCTTACAATGCGATCATCGTAACCCCAGGAGATTACGTTGTAAGTATCGGGCTCAGCTCCCTGCATCACACTCGCCCTTCCCGGAAGAGCATATACCACGTTGGTGTTGCTGAAGCTTACCAAATGCTCAGTGCCTGGTATTTTGTGGATGTTTGCCCATGAGGGAGCTTTCAGCTGCGGCGATCCCACATAGACCCCCCATCGCAGACCCCGTACAGTGGACACTATTGGTTTGTCAACCAGTGAGTAGTCAAGAGCCTTAGTCGCCGGATGTGGTGACTTGAAGAGCTGTCTAGGCATTTGACCATATGTCTTCACCATTGTCTTGACTGCTTCTCTTTCAATGGGATCGCTGATCTCGGAGTCCAGGAATACGGCGTAGGTCTGGAGTTTAAGAAAAAGAAAATAAGTATCAATAAATTTTATAAGGTATCATTACTGACCGCTGGATGAAACACATTAATGGCTTCTACAGCACTCTCCCCACTCTGTTTATAGCCGTAGATCAGGTCTATCCAATTATGTATCTGATTCCGCACCAGTTCCGACTCCAAAGCCTGTCGGTGGATTAGCACAAAGAGACGGGAGTCCCGCTGACACCATGGAGGCAGTGAGACATCCTCCACCCGTTCCCCATTCTGTCGACAACCGAACTTAAAGCGCTCAAAATTCTCAAACATCTCCGGCAGGCAGAAGAATTCCGGAATGAGTTCCTTCACATCTGTGGGACTATCTTGGCTGGCTAGCTTCCAAGTTGTGTTAAGGGCATGGAACGTGCGATCCGGTAGATCGAAATCATTGTCTTGGTAGCGGAGGAAATAGCTGGTAAACGGTGGAACTCTTACTAGGAAATGAAGCACAGTGCCGGAATTCGAGTAATGAGAGCTGTAGTGATACGGCTTAAGGATCAGGGAGCCCATGGTTGTATTGGTGCTATCAATGTACTGCAAGGATCAACAAAAAATGTACATCAATCACAAATTATTTATGGATAAGATCATTTCCTCTTACCGTATAATTGCTGATGTAGTGCTTCTCGTTCTCTTCCAGCTGCACGGCAATGGGTCGTCCAAGACGTCTGAAGTTATGTCCCTCCCTCAGATCCAAAATCTCCGAGTTGTAGTTGGCCAGCACCCAGGGAAATACTGGATACTGCATGAGATCGTTGTAAGTACGCCCGGCGATTTGGTTTAAAGTCATTAGGTACTCCCAGTTGGTGAGGAGACCCTCGCGCCACTGCTGGGTGATGGCCAGCACCTTGGCCTGATCAGGCGTGGCTACGATTTTATCACAGAATACCTCGCGCATGATCTTCCAGTCGTCGGCGTTCTGCAGCGAGAAGAACAGCGACTTGTTGGTGTCCAGGAGTATCTCGAATGCCAGTTCTTGGTGCTGGTAACGCTTCAGCCAGATCTCCGTTATGTTGGCGATATCACAGTTAACGTTGAAGTACCGACACCGGTAGGTAGCCAGGAAGTAGAGTTTTAGATCAGTGATTATAATCTCACCCTCGATCTCCCCATCCACAGGCAGGAATTTGGCCGCAAAGTTGTACAAAATTTGGGAATTCAGCGATATGTTCAATTGCTGATCGTAACTGGCTATCAGGTAATCCAGAGGTCGTACATATGGCTCCAGATCTTCGCGTTGCCCTTGCCCTGGTCTATATTCATTCATAAAGAAGCGGCGATCAATGTCGAGGTGACAGCGACGTAGACGAGTGTGAACTCGGGAGGGTCCCTCTGTATCGTCCAGTTCCCAAGAACTGCGGAGAGATCTTTGGTTAACTATATTCTTTAAATATATTTTTCCCTAGCTTACCATTCAGCTCTTTCAGCAGAGTGCCAAGGAGCGCCCTCGTGCGTCATTCGACGTATGATCTCCAGCCACTTGGTGTAGGTATAGGTATCATCGTACACCTTCATGTGACACATTAGAGCTTTGCGTTCAGCATTCTGAAAGCGTTCAGGGTTATCAAATGGATATTTAAAACTCTTCCCGATTGTAACTAACCTGTAGCTCTGCCACCTTTCTGGTAGTCACCATAGACGACTCTATGCAGTGCTGAACCAATGGCTCAAACCTATACACAGTCTTTTCCAGCAATGTCTTCTGCTTGGCAGCCATATTGCTGCGATTCTGATCCAGGCGATCCAACTCATGTACCAGATTCCACGAGGAATCATTCTCCTTGATACCCAAGGCATCACAAAGTCGCTGAAGGTTCTCTATAGGCTCCGCCAAGTCCTCAAGCAAAGACAGCCAGAGTAGCGCTTTGATCATTTTGCCATCACAGATGATTGCCCGCTGAAACTCATCTTGTTGGGATCGCCACAAAGCGTCTACAATGTAGGAGCGCAGATCCCGTGGACGCGAAGGTTGCAAGCCCCAGGCAATGAAGTTGTTGCACCGCTGATTGCTGGAAATCCCATAGGAAACGAGCAGCTGGAAAAGAGCAAGTTCCTGGGAACTGGCCACGTAGGTGGGTCCGGTAGTCTGGCCCACACCAACGGTGAAGAACTGGGTGCAACGATCGATAAGCAGTTCCACCCGGGTGCGTAGTTCCGTTTGACTCAGAGCAGAATCATTAGTCATTGCAATTCGGAAACTGTTGGGCTCAAAGAACTTCGTGAGCCACTCAAGCTGAAGTTGAGCTTGGACAGTGCGAAAACTGCGCATTATCAGCTGAGGTTGCTTGTCCTGGTAGAAGGCCAGTAGGTTGAGGATGTCCCAAACGAGCTGGTGGAGTATATTAGGGATATTATAGAAATCAGATTTGTCTATTTCTGAAAGTACTCACATTTATCTGCCCCACAGAACGCAGAGCTCGCTCACCAATACTCGTCAGTAGTTCAACAATGGATTCATCCACGTTGGATTGACCCAGTCGTAAGGAGTAGATCTTGTAGAGTGCCTTGACTGAACACTGCAGCAGTCCTGCCTCAATCAGACATGCCTGATCATCAGGATTCTAGAAAGAGATGACAAATAGATTCGTAAAGGACGGAATTTAAAATTGGAAAATTTCTATTTAACCTGCATAAAAAGTCGTTGGAGTGCTTTAAACACCCTCTGAGGATCCGCTCCCTCCGCTATGGCCAGCAGAGATTGGAGTGCAAAGCGCTGACGAATCCTCAGGGGTGTTTCACAGTTGAGCATATCCGTCAAATTGCCATGCATCCCGCTTATCCAAGCCAGGCAGGCCTCAAACATGCCAATATCACATCCATGGATGGTCAACTGATTGGCCAAATGCAGGGGATACATCAATTTGGTAGCAGCATTCAGCTCCCCGCTAGGCAGACGTTTTGTTAGCACATCCAGCAACTGAATAATAGCCTGTCGAACGGCACAGCTACGTTGATTGGCAAGAACTAGGAGCAATTCCAGTTTTACGTAGTGACGGGTGACGACATCCACTGAGGAATCAGGCAGTAGACATAAGAAGTCCTTCAATAGGATAAGAAGGCGTTGCTGCAGACGGATGATTCCCTGCTGATCGTAGAAGTCTGTTTTTCTATTTGGCAGTGACGACTGCCCAGAGCTGGGAGTACTATGTCCCGAAGGCTGCCAGATCTTCCCGAGGTGCAAATGTGGGTGAATGCGCCTGCGAGCTATCTTCAACGGACTCCGCTTGGGACTGTTGGTACTTGTGGGATGCCGTCGCTTGAATTTCAAACGCCAGCGAGTCGCCTCCACAGGACTGAGCAGTCTCAAGGCTGTCTTGTTCAGATTCGAGCAGTCGGCCATCTGTTCCAGTTGCTCTTCGAATTCGTTAACAGCTTTTCTGTAGCCGGATGTATTGGCATGGAGACGTCGCAATTTTTTTATTCTCTCCGCTCTCTCAGGATCCAGTTCCTGGGGCTGGGGATGCAATTGCCTCCGCAGAGAAGTGGTCACCCTGCTCAAATTGGCTGCTACCAGGGATCTTTCCTTAGCCGGTTGTTGAGCCGTAAGGAGGAAGTAGAAGTGCGAGCGATCGTGGGTCACATAACACTCGCTGGGCTTGTGGAGCAGCAGGAGTAATTTCATGATCTCATCCAGCATAGAGGAATCAGGAGGTGATCCAGCAAACACTGCCAGAATCTGGACAAAACACTCGGCTGCATACGGCGATATCTGAACCGGGCTGGGAGACTCTATCACATATACCTTGCACAGGTTGAGAAGGGCTCCCAGCAAACCGGATTTTTGGAGTTGTTCCATGTTAAAATCTCTTTGCGGATGCTTGTCCCTTGTGAGAGCCAAAATACAGCGGAAAAGCATATCTAGTACATCGGAGTGGGTGGCTCCGGAGCGATGCCAGTCGGAATAGCGCTGCAGTATAGCCAGAAGCAGACGAGGATACACCAGAGTAGCCATTGTGTTGTCGTTGACATTCAGAGAATCACCCTTCCGACTGATCAGAGCCTGGGAACACGCATTGTTCACAATGCTTCGGAGTAACTGGACATCCTTGCAGCACTTCTCCGATTTGATCACGTAGCCAATTAGAGCCAGATAGTCCTGACGCTGAAACTCCGTGTATAGCTGTGTATCTGAATGAGCTACCTGAAGCAACAGATCCAAAGCCAAAGCCTGGGTGTTTGCATTGCCAATGAGTTCAACAATCTGGAAAGAAGGAGATTCTTCATTACGAAATTCTTGAGAGAACAAGAATCCGACTCACCCTGGCAAAGAGATACAACAGCGTGGAGAGTCCACCGCTGAGGCTTGTGGCTGACTGAAGGGTCTGTGGTTGGTGTTGCTGCAGTTCCCCATAAAGCATATGTCCGTAAGGCTGCCCATAACAGCCCATGTCCAGTTCCTGGCTAGCATCGTAGCTCATCACTAGATCCGGCTGCTGAGCCGTGTAAACCAGAACTCTCGCCTGCCTCAACCTGCGCATGCAGTCAAGATGGTTGCCGAAATTCGAGGTCGCCAACTTGCTTAGAGTTACGAAGCCATAGTTGGGCTTCCAGTTGGCCACTTGGCACTGTGTGAACTCGGTGAAATCTGGTCCCATGGCCGTGAGATTCATCAAGAGCAAAGGATCCACCAGACGACGCCTGAAGAGGATCACATTTGATAGGGCGTATCGGGGGGCTGAACCATCTAGAGTGGATCGCGAGGAGGAGCTGCTGCCGGGACTCTTGGTCGGTTGACCTTCACCAATAGCAAGCAATTGAAAGCTGTGTACCCTAGTGAGCTGACGTAGATTGTGGAAAGGCAAACGCATAGTGTGTTGCTCCAAACCATCCAGAAATATGCTGATCTCTACGGCATCTCCTTGCTGCTGCAGGCCGAAGACCAAATGCATCCACTTGTGACGTGGTAATCGTAAATGCTGCAACTGCACGGCGGTGCCCTCGAAGTAGCCACCAGATGAATCCGGAGAAGTCTGATGACCATTGAGCAAGTGCATCTGCCCAAAGCTATTGAGCAGCGCTAGCTTGGTCTGCTTGAGGGCTTGTCGAATGGTTCCCGCATTTGCCGCCTGAGTGTTTGCTGAAATTACGGAGGCCGTATCTGCGTTGGCCTCTATATGCTCATCCACGCGTACTGGAGCTAGTTGCTCATTTGGTTTGACTAACTCGAAGACTAGCTGCATGTTGTGGCTGATGTAAATGCTGACCATGGCTTGATTGGTCCCCAAAGAAAGAAGGTGGAGTTTCTAAGGAAGATGTGGATAAGTTAAAGTGGGTTGAGATACTTGTTTGCTCACTGTTAGATCCTCTCCTGAATAGCGCGTCTCATCATCGTTGAATTGCATGGAGCTACGGTGCATCTGCTGACCTCTTAACTCCAACCATAATGACAGGGTCAGGCCATCTGGTTGCCATAGACGTGTTTGGGTAACCGGGAAAATGCAAGCGGCCCGAGTAAACAGCGTACTCGTTTGGCACTGTTGGTGATGGAGACGCACTCTTTCGATCTGTTCGCTGACCAGCGGCTCCGAGGTGATCACTATTTTGCCATCCGTATTGATTGGAAAGTCCAACTCCATGCAGGGCTGGGCTTTACGGAGCGATCCAGAGGAGATATGGTGCATGTGCCTCATCAACAGATCCACGGGAGGGTGTCTGGAGGCCAGGATGGAGTAGTAACACTGCAGCACCTCAGGAGTGTTTAGATGGGTAACCAACTCGAGGATCGATTGCTGCAGTTCTGAAAGCGATCGACAATAAGTTTACGAAGGGATTTATAAGGAATTCTTTAGCTTACCCCTCAATCTCGGATCACTGCAGCTTAGGATCGGCGAAAAACCTTTGAGCAGGCACAGTGGACCACCGAGGTAATCCCTGATGACAAACAGCCGATTGGCCAATTGAGTTAGGCTCTCGGTCCATCCATTTGGTTGCTTGATGCAGAGAAGAGACAATTCCGCCAGCATTTGCACCACCAGCTGGCTGAGGCCTTGGTGCATGATGTGGGTTCGATAGCGGGAAGATGGCTGAAACGGGGTCCACGATTCGTTGGCTGCCATCACGCCACCATTGAGTTCACATTCGGATTCGCTGAGGTCCGCAATTTCGCCATCCGCCTCGTAACCCTCGTCGGCGGTGAGGTAAAACTCGTGCTCATTTTCGCTGAGCTCCAGTTCGCTGTCGGCGGCACAACTCAAGGAGGCTCGAGTGGAGAAGTAATCCGCATCCACACCTACATTCACCTCACTGGAATTGGGCCTCCTTCGTGGTGTGGGTGGAGTGGCCAGCGAGTTCTTGGCCGGCAACTTGACGGGCTGCAATCTGGGTAGCTCCACGCTGCCGCTGTTGAAAGATCTGGCACGTGGTCTTGGTTGCTGGGAATCGGCCGATGGACTGCTGACCACGCCCGCTGGTTCTTGATGAGTGCTTGACAGCTCAGCAATCTTGAGCAGAGTCTGTAGAGTCTGAATGACCGCATTATCCCTGGCATGCTGATCCCCATGATCCGACCAATTATCCGTGGCATGGTTTAAAATAATGGCTCGCAGCTTGCGCAGGTGCTTCTGCATCTTCTCCACTGTGAGGAAAGGTAGATAAGAGGCGGATTAGTTAGATAAATGCTTTTGATGTCTGACTGACTGACTGATAACCCGCGTCTATATCTTCCGTAAACTGGAGCAAGTCGTCAGCGCTGGACGAGCGCCAAAGCAAAAGTGTCGCCTCTTGTCTGGAATGTATCTCGTTTCGGTGCCTATCTCTGTCTGTTTTCTCTGTCTGTATGTGCGATGTTGTAACTTGTGTACCCAGAAATTCAATCCCAGCAGGCAGAGCCTTGTAAATGCCGCGTATTATACTCCGAGCGACCGATTGACTAACTGTCTGCCTAGCTGGCTTATAATTAACTCTCCTAGTCCGCAGCCACAATCACAACCACAACGCGCCGTTATTAGCTAGAGTCTAGAATCTAGAGCTGGATTGGAGGTGAATGTGGGTGCCTTGTTCTTGTCCCACTTCTAGGGCTTCCCCCGAGAACCCACTGCCAGCACTGTTGTGCATTGTCTATTGTCTATTGCCTATTGGCAACGCATTAGCCGCGGAATGCCGTGGAACCCACCAGATGGACGCTTAACCAAGGCAGGAAAGTAATGCTCTTTCATTTTTAATACACTCCTGATGATGCTATGCGAGTTTTTTTTATAAAATTGCTAACGAACCAAGAATTTGAATTTTAATGACAATATTCATAGTTCCCTTGAAAATAATATAGTTTTATAGTTAACAACAATTTTTTATTTCTACAAACTCAACTGATGAGTAATTAAACTTATCCGCCAAAACCATTGATTAATAAATAATAGTTAGTCTAGCTAGTCATTTCAGTCTCTACATATGAATCCATATACTCAATATACCCCATTTTCTTCGCCAACAACCAAACAATCTCTGACACTTACCTTCTTCGTTTTGGAAACCCTTGATGCAGATGGCCATGGTCGCCTCGAAGAGTTTCAGCAAGAGTTTCTTGCATTCCCCGTTGGGTTCGTACAGGCAGAACAAATCCGCATCAATATTAGCACTTGTCGGAGTGTTAGCACTTCCGCCGCTCCCCGGACTACCGCCAAACAGGGAACCCACCATGCTGAATAGTTTGTTGATTATGCCATCGGCAGAAGCCACTTCCTCTTGATTTAAAAGATCCAGTGAGTTACTGGGGCAATCCTTTCTGGGCTGATTGCCACGGATGTCGAAGAGGATAATGCTTTCATCCGGTTCGCCGGAAAGGAGTTTTTGCAGGAACGAGGGTGTGGTCATGTCCCGTGAGTAACTATCGTAATTGTTAATCACCGATGCGTAATCCAGAGGAGAATCCGCGTAGTCCGAACTGCCAGCCGTTGTGACGGAGACTGAACTAGAGCCACCGAGTGGCAGCTGCGAGACCAGGGTTTCCAATGAACTTGAGCCGCATATACCAGCAGTGGGTGTGGTTGCGGTGGACGATGTGGTTGCTCCCATTGCGGCTTTCGGCAGCATGAGGAAACAGCCCAAAGCATTGTAGTTTAGCTTCAAAATGTCAACGATGTTTTTATCCCCATGTCGTAGCTTCTTTTCCTCTGGAAGCTGCTCGGCCGTTGGCGTCTCCACCTCCTCATCCTCGTTATCCAGCATTTCCACGGGTATCGAGTAGATTTTGGCAAATTCGTTGTAGAACAATTGACTTGTCTTCAGAAGCTCAAAATTCAGGGTCCATTGCAGGGCTGTAATATAGAGTATATCTGCTGGCTTGTGACCTTCAAGCTTGGGGGGATTGGAGCCCTCATCCAGCCAGAATTTAATGCCGGAGTTCTTTGAACACTTGTGCAGCAGAGACTGGAACAGCTGAGAAGCCCTGTCACTACTATTCAGCTGAAGTTGGATGAGTCTCCTGCTTAACGTTATTTGCTCCTGGCTGTTTTCACCGAGAAAAGCTATGTTATCAATGCCCACCTTGATCAGATCACATACTCCCCGCTGGAGTTCAGGTATAGCTAACAAGTCCTGCATATAACGGATGTTCTCCTCGTTGTAGAAAGCTTTAACCAGGCGAATATCGCTCAGGTACATCACAAAGATGCTGAGGCATTCGTGCAGAGCTCTGTAGTTCTCTAATTTGGGATGTAGAGAAGCGACTTTGCTATTTCTTCTTTGTCCTTCTTTACTTTCAATCAGCTCTTTATACTGCCTGAAAATCGGAAGAGCTACCTCCGCTAGAATTCCAGAGGCCAAATCATAGGACAGCAGATAGGCGATATGTTTCAAGTGCTTCAGGAACAGCAACATTGCGGGGGTGTTCAGCAGGGCTTTATAGTTCTCCTTGTATATGTTCAGCAAAGCCATGTGGAAGACAGGGGATTTGAGTTTATCCTCACATCCAGGACATCCCTGAGGATTCCGCTTCACAAAGATGGTGTGCAGAACATTATAATGCAAAAACTTATAAGCACACTTTTGGTAACCGCTGGAAAGTTGAGTTGCTAGTTGAAGGCAAGTGGCGTAGTTTCTTGCATTGTAGTGACAGCAACAACTTCCAGTACGAAGAAGACTCCTCACACTGTGCTCCTGAAGCTCCGCCTCTAGGCTAGGCAGCAGGTGGTAAAGTTTCCCCTGGAAAAAGCAGCTCAGGGAGTTGGCTCCCAGGCAATGAAGTTGACTGCTCCTCTGTCTTTTATGTCGCGGATGTTGCTGCTGCTTGGGCAAAGCGGTGGATGCACTGCTCTCCATGAGACTCTGCAGGTGCTGCTCCTGCCTTGAGAGGTTGTCCGTTAGGCGCAGCAGCATCTTGTATATATGCAGGAATATGGCAGTAGAGAAGTTCGTTGACTTCGCTGCTTCTTGCAAAACTTCAAAGCAGGCATCAAAGTTCCTCACATCGATTTGATTCAACTCCTTAACGCCATTATCCACCAGATTATGGAGGGTGCCAAACATAATGTATAGCACACCATGGGCCAGCAGGGGACTCCTTCGGTTGGCGGTCAGTGCATAAAGGAGTTGGCCGAAATTGCTATTGAAATCATGGACATTCGGTTGCTGCTGCTCCAGAACGTAAAAGTTGTTTACACAATGGGCTATTAATTGGAGCAGCTCAAATTTAATGATCTCGTCATTATCGCCTGCTGAATCCTCCTCCAGACTGGCGCACAAGTGTCCCAGTGCGAAGTTGTGAACAGTCACGCTCAACTGTGATTCCTGTTCGGCATCCACGCACCTGGTGAGCAATTGGATGAGTAACAGGGCCAGATCATCACTGCTCTTTGTTGTCTCCTTAAAGTCTTCGAAGTTCGATATGATGGCCTTGGATATGTTATTGGATAATTGACCTTTTTGCGGATGCTGGCGTCGCAACTTTTTGCTTTGCGAATTGAGGTAGAAACTGCCGATGAACTGGGATATGCTGGTCAAGGGAAGTAGTGGCTCGTTTGACGGGCTCCACTTGCAGTTGGGGAACAGGTTGATGCACAGCTGACACAGGCTCTTTTGTGAAGCAATATGCTGCAGGTAGAGGAAGGTAATTGATTAAATGTCCTAAAATGATGGGCTTGGGTAAGTAAATACTCAAAAGTTACATTTTAAATATAAACTTAGAAGGTTGGAATGTGGTTGCTTTCAACCACATTTCACATTTTTAAAGATAAGAAACTGTGGCTTTGTTACTAAGTAAGACATTAAATAGTAACATAAATTTTAATTTATAAAAATGAACCACAAGTTTGAAAATAATTAATAAAATCTTATCTGTAAAAACCAATTAAATCGAATCATCCTTATCATCCTTATATATTTTAATGAAGCACTTTAAACTTGCCTTGATATCCACGCGCAGCAGAAAAGCCAACAAGTGATGACCCAATTTATCAGTGAGGAAAGTCCGCAGGGCAAGAATCTTATTGCAATCACTGGGAGTGCTGAGTATTAGCTGCAACAGGTATAAGTTTAGAGGACTAGACTAGAAAGAGGTATTGCTTGGACCTAACCTGGGCTAGATTATGCTGCTTGCGCAGCTGCTTAATGCACTTATCCTGTTGTTCCGGTTCCTGCTCTGGACTACTTCCCTGAGATCTCTTCGCCTCGCTGATGATTTGATAGACCTGTTCTAACAAATAGGAACAAAGTTCCTCTGGCATCAGGTTGAAGTGGCTGCCAAAATAGAAAACCATTTAGTCATATTATAAATCATCAAATTTTACTATGATTGGCTAGCAACGTTATTAAAAAGTGCTTAAAGTAAAAAACTTTAAGAGATAACATTATTCTTTAAGAGGACTTTTGTATATCATGGTGTTATTAGCATATCAGCTAGTTTTACCTATTAAGCCATGCATCTTCCAAGGTCTTATCATCCAGAAACTGGAAATTATACAGCAGCAGCCAGAGCCAGTGGTCCTGTGAATGGCAAAATGAGAAAGGGAAAACAGCGATAAGACCTGAGAATGTGAATGGGCGAAGGAGAATCGCACAAACCTTGACACTCGCATCTTCGAGCTCCGAGGCCTGGAGATATTGGCTCCACAGTCCGATCAGGGTATCCAGCAGCAGTAGCTGATCCTCCTTCACCTCCATCCCGGCCATGGAGAATCACAGATAGTGTTGCCTTCTAACAGGCACGTCGAAGAGTCTGCTCCGGCTGGTCAGCAGCTCCTCGGTCATCGGGCAACGTTGTGGACGCTTGGAGCGATGAGACCAAACTGAACGCGGCGATCGAAGGAGAACGCCAGCTGTAATTACGGAGAAAAGTAAATACAGTTGTACTTCTATAATCGACTTTATCTTTCTTATAAGAATTACAAGTGGTGGAGATTCATATTGGGTAAATATTGATTCCTGAAGCATTTTGTGTGATTATCGAATTAGCTTGAAGATTTTATTTTATGTATATAAGAGATTAAAATAACAATGTTCGTCTTACAGAAGTTTTACTGCATCTCTTTTGTGCGTGAGATTACGTGCAGTGGTCAGGAGGAGGATGGGAAGCTGGTGTAGGAGTGAGAAGGCGGAGTGGGATGAAGAGGCCACGATGATTACTTATTTGCTCAGAGGCAGTAGGCCGGTGATGTTGATAATTCGGTGCAGAGTGGAGTGGAAACTTTGGTTGTTGTTGCGGAAAACTATTAAGATTGCTATTTATAGCGGTTCGGATGGGTGGCATTGCATCTGGATCGGTGGCTTTCGGTGGGTTGCCAAGCCGGTAAAAATGATAGTGAGCGGGGACGGGATGGGTGGTTCGGTGGTTTCGATGGAGCTCCAACCAAGTAAACAGCTGGCAATGAAGCGTGTCTGTAACGGCCACTGAATCTGAGATAAGCTCGAAACTATGCAAATCGAAGGAGGAAACCATCTCCTTTTGCATCTTATCAGAACACAGAAAACTTTACATATAGAATACTCAACATTTGAACCGCAACAACTTCTATTTATCAACTGCGCAGCACCGAAATTATTCATTCCATTCTAGCATATAGTATTTGGGATTCACCAAGTGTAAAATTTATAATTTATTAGCCATAGCTCACCGAAGGAAATTGCAATTTTCGTGGATCAGCAACAACAAGTTATTTCAGCAAGACATTTTCTTTTTTTATTTGTTATTTTCTTGTTATTTTAACAATTTTAGCAATTCTGTTTTTGTTGATTCCGCTATGTTGGTGTTGTGTGTGTGAGCGGTTGTAGTTGTAGTTGCGCCTGTGTTGGTAACGCTTCTATTGTTTGCTACGGAATAAACAATTGCAAAAATGTTGTTATTGTTGCCATCAGCTGATGGCAAAACGCGTTTCAACTGTAGGTCACACTTTAAATCGATTTCAAAACGAATCGATTTTAAAAACTATTCATACATGAAAATAAAATTTAAAACAGGAAAATTTTTTGCATTTTAAAGGTTTGTCTTACCCTTCTTGATACCATTTTAAAATTATTTTTCAATTATAAGCAACAGCTGTTTCTTATGAACCATTTTTAAAAGCAGGTTATCGAACTAAATTCAAAGAACTAGTTCGCTGATACCTGTTGCGCGCTTCAGCTGTTTTCATTCTGGTTTCTGTTGATTTCGCGAACAGTTTGCCTTAGTTTTAATCCGTTTTTATAATTTTAAATAAATTTAAGTTAAAAATGCTCTGTCGACTTGTGGGAAAAAGTAATCTGGGAGCCCAATATTCGGCCTCCATTAAGGTAATTACTATCCCATAGAATTTAAAATCGTTTTCCTGGAACACATCTTCCAGATATTCATAGATAAACTGAATTCATCTTGGTTATCTCTTGTCAGAGCAAATACTTAATTAATCATGTGATCTAAAGGTGACAAACTGGTTTTCCAGGAAAACAACAACAGGTGTTAAGTGAAATATTTCCAGAAATAGAGCAGTTGTTTTGAGCAGATATTTAAAGTATACAGACCCCATGTGTATGTATTGTTTTGATTTAGTGTTTTGTTGCCAATTGAGATAAGCATTATTTTGTTGGAACCACGCGAGCAATCCACTTAAAGATCACCCCACTGATTACCATTACCCCCCTGGAACAGTCCATTTGGAATAAAAATAGGCGAACTTACGTAACGATTTTGCACAAACAAGCCAACACGAACACTCACTTATACAGAGAACCCCATCATATCATGGACAAACCGCTTTTTATGCTAATAATCTGATTTGTTTTTCAGGCTATAGCGTGCTACTCTACGTCGGGAAAACAGCGAAACGGCAAGATCTATGAGTCGGCCATAGATGCAGTATCCGATGTCAAGGATGGCGCCAAGATCCTCTTCGGAGGTTTCGGCATCTGCGGAATTCCGGAGAAGATGATCAACGCTCTAAAGCAAAAGGGAGTCAAGAATATCACTGGCGTTTCCAATAATGGAGGTATGTCTTTCTAAACTATCTTAAATTTAAAGGCCTAATATCCCAATCTCTTTCAGGTGTGGACGACACCGGTCTGGGTGTCCTTATCAAGCAGAAACAGGTGGCCAAGGTAATTGGCTCATATGTGGGTGAAAATACCGAGCTGGTCCGTCAATATCTAGAGGGAGAATTGGCCGTGGAGTTAACACCTCAAGGAACCCTAGCAGAGAAAATCCGCGCTGGAGGAGCTGGTATTCCTGCCTTCTACACGCCCACCGGTTACGCCACTCTCGTTCAGGAAGGTGGAGCACCTATTAAGTACTCCAAAGATGGCAAAGTAGAGATTTCCAGCGAGAAGAAACCAGTGAAGGAATTCAATGGAAAGAACTATGTGATGGAGGAGTCGATCTTCGCCGACTTTGCCTTCGTCAAGGCCCAAAAGGCCGATCCCTTGGGCAATCTGGTGTTCAATAAGGCGGCTAGGAACTTCAACGCTCCCATGTGCAGGGCTGCAAAGATTACGGTAGCAGAGGTTGAGGAAATAGTGCCTATCGGAGCCCTTTCTCCCGATGAGATCCATGTGCCTGGCATCTATATAAACCGCATCTTTAAGGGTACGAACTACAACAAGCGAGTTGAGCGCTTGAGAATCACTGAGCCTAAGGATCCCAGCAAACCCATTCCTCCACCTAATCCAGCCCAGGCCTTGCGTGAGCGCATTGCTCGTCGAGTGGCTCTGGAGTTCCGCGATGGCATGTACGCCAATCTGGGCATTGGTATTCCTGTCCTTTCCTCCAACTACATCCCCCAGGGCATGAGCGTGATGCTGCAGTCGGAAAACGGAATCCTGGGTCTGGGTCCATTCCCAACAAAGGATAAAGTGGATCCGGATCTGATTAATGCCGGAAAGGAGAGTGTTACTGTGGTTCCCGGTGCCTCATATTTTGGCTCTGATGATAGTTTTGCCATGATTCGTGGTGGCCATGTGGATATCACTATTCTTGGCGCCATGGAGGTGTCGGCAACTGGCGATCTGGCTAACTGGATGATACCTGTAAGTTAAGTCGAAGTAATTCCCCAAACTACTATTGCTTAAGTATACCTTTATTTCAGGGAAAACTGGTCAAGGGCATGGGTGGAGCCATGGATTTGGTTGCTGCGCCCGGCACTAAGGTGATCATCACAATGGAGCACAATGCCCGTGATGGTTCCCCCAAGATCTTGGAAACCTGCTCCCTGCCACTGACGGGCAAGGGTGTGATCGACCTGATCATCTCCGAAAAGGCTGTATTCGAAGTTGAAAAGGGAGTGGGGCTTACTCTGATCGAGGTAGCGGAGGGCTACACCGTGGACGACATCATCGCCAGCACTGGAGCCAAGTTCACAGTGTCTCCCAATGTCAAGGCGATGGGCCAGATTCCGGTTTGATGAGCTTCATTTGGACTGCCCAGAGAAGCTGCAATACCTCAACTTGAGTGATAAACGAGTGCATTTATTTTTTGTTGATCGTGTGACAAAAACATTTCTGTTGTTAAAAATATATAGACCATGTCGAAGCTAGTCCCACCAAGCTTAACTAATGGCCTTGGCCATGTCCTTGAGAGCCCCCGCTCGATGTGAGTTTCGCATCTGTTTGTTGAGGATGTCAAAGATGCGATTGTACTTGCTGTCGCATTCTGTTCGGCAAATGGCGCAGAATTGTGAGGACAGGACGTGGAGTGGACTCCGGAAGTACAGGCCTTCCTGCATTGTGAGACTGTTCTTGTGGTGCGACACCATGTGCAAGAAGATCTCGATGATGGCCAGAGTAGCGCCAATGAAGAAATTATAGCAGAAGAGTGTGGGCACCAGGAACAGCAGGTAGTGGTTTCGGTTGTAGCCCAAAATAATGTTCTGAAAGGACAATATAATGATTACGATAATCGATAAGATCAAATTTGGCTTAAACTTACGTTGTTTACGCCATCCATTTGACAATAATCCTCCCGCTCATAGCCAGGAGTTGCCTTCCTGGGAGCCTTTTTAGGAATTGCGGTGGCTGCACCATGTCTTGCCGTGTTGGCAAACACATCGTCCATCTCATCACAAATGGTTCCCCGGAGGAAGTGCTTGGGTACATGGAAATTGGTGTGCTTTCTAAAGTGCACCTTCATCTGATCGTGGATCGGTTCACCGGTTTCCTCATCGTAGGCGGGTCTTTTTACTCGTACGGTGTCTGTGTAGAAGTACTCCAGCTCACCCGTTTCACAGTTCTGGAAAAGATTGGGTCGAAACAGATAATGTTATGATAAGAGAATAGTTTAAGAGAGCGAAAGAGACCTTGGCGACATTCTACGGTGGCGTGATCGCGATTTTTGGAGATAATTTACGGGCCTGAACCTGGTGAAATTTGCAAGTCAGATTTATAAAGCCAAACAGATGAAAGCTGATGAACTGTTTTGGAAATATCTTTGGCTTAAAGATGTTTATGATCTCTTAAAAGTAATTAAGAGCAAGGAAGAGTATTAACTACTAACTATTTCCCTTAAGAATGTTGCATATTTCTCTCAGTTTTCTCTTAAGTTCCCATCTATAATATTGTTTATGAAATGTTATCGCAAAAAGCTAGAAAAAAGAAACAAAGCGCCAGTGGAAATGTTTTTGTATATCCCGAAAATAGAATCACGTACAGCTTTTCTGATAAGATCAACAGATCGGACACCCTGGCGTATGAGTAATGAATCACTGGCGACACCGGAGATTATCTATGCACCCGACTTCTTACCACCATCATGGTTTCTTCGGTACTAACTTTAGGCCCCCTAAAACCAACGAAAGCTAACAAACCAGCAAAGTCAAGCATTACTTATCAGTTTTGACTGGAAGTCATGCCGATCGACAGACGCCTCCTTATCGTTACTATAGCCGGTGGAGGAGGGATTCAGGGGTTACTTATCTCCGACAGCCGCTACGTCTATTAACGTACAATTAAGGCTTATGGACAGAAGAAAATTGTAAATTGCACATGCAATTACAAAATATTTTCACGGAATTTCCAGCCTTCTGTTTTTGCAATTGTGGGATTAATAACTTCTGAGTTGCATAAGCACTGACCGGTTTGCGTGTCAAATGCGATTTGATCAGAATAAATATAATACAAACTGATGAGACTGAAGAGCAGATCTTCCTGATGGGGATCGAATAAATTTAGTTATCGGAGAAAATCGGAACTATTTTGTAGCAAATTGCAAAAGGCATTTAATCTACTGTAAGACTGACAACATGTTGGCATTAACGAACCAATTTAACATGTAACTAGAGTAATCTATTTTGAAGGTTCTACATTTGATTAAGATTCTTCAAATCCTATAATTTGAGGGTTTGGTGTATTTTTAAACCAGTTATAAAGTCATTATAAAGTGTATAAACAACAATACATCAGCACTCCTCCTCCCAATTAACTTTGATGAGGTTTTATTACCTTATATTAAAATGCAAATTGAAGTCATCGAAACAAGATAAAGATCTACTTTGTTACAGGAGATACTGGGAAATATACTACCAAATAGCATGCAAGGCTAAGTAAACATTTTATGGCTTCTGTGAGAATACAAAATTGAAGTATAGATAAAGTTCTTTTGATGAGTTTGGAGTACATGACAGAATGATAAGTAGACTACTCCCACTTCAGTTAAGATTAACTATCAAGTAGTCGGTCCTCACTTTCAGACTGATTAAATATCTCAATGTGTATGTATAAATGTACTTACATACCCAGTGGGTGGTAAGCTGAAGGTTCTTTGAGCATAGAAACACAGGAGAAAATATTTTTCCAATTTTATACAATAGTATGCATAAATTAAGTTCTTATTAAGTACCGAACATGATAAGTAAATCGGTATTTGATCCTGATTAAAACTTTTACTTTGGTGACAAATCGTTTCTAAGTTTCGTGCAGTCCTAAGTGAACCTGATAAAAGCCTTACATTTTATGACACATTTTAAGAAATGCTGCCTTACTCTCGTTTGTTCACGTTCTAGTTCTGAAAGCTCTTACGATACGATTTATCTCATATGAAAGTAGTGCCTACATTCTTCCAGTGTAACTTCTGCTGACGTCTATTATTGACAGACTTGCCTAATGTCAACGAAATGTATGTATGCCTTTTAGCCACCCGACAAAAGACTGTAATGGCAGATAAGCATTATGAACCAAAAAAAAACATGGCCAGTTAATCAATGTGAGTAGATAATCTACCCTATACTTGGCATATGAATTTGGGTACTGCGTTCTTTTTCCTGCTTACTAGAGTCACAGTTGGCTTAGTACTATAGTGTAATTAACTGAGATTGCGTTTTATTTTAAATTGGCCCGGTGTTTTATGGCACCTTAATTATAAGCCCGAAAAGAATCAAAAAATCTCACTGATCCCGTCGCTTTTTATTGTATGTGTATGTTTTCCGACGAACCAAGATGGGTAAAAGTCCGAAAACTGGTTTACAGATCGCAACACACATACGCACCGTGGGCTCTCTCTTCGATTCGTTTTTTTTTTGTTTTGTAGATTTTGGCACTTACCTTAATGGAATAACCCATGTCTGTCTGGTTGGCTTATTTTCACAGTTATGTCTGCCTTTGGCTTTGTTTTTATTCGTTTAATTTCCTTGGCCGAAACTATTATTTCCCGCGATTCACAAACATTAACTCACACAATCGACATATATATCTACCGAATTTATATATGTGTGTGCGATTGTAAATATTTTGATTCACTGCAATTTAAATATATGGGCAAGAAAACTGTGCGACGATGAAAATTTTCGAAACCGGTTGATCGGTTATCCAGTTGATTTCGTTGCGCCCGTTTCATTTGCCGATAGTGTGTTTATTTTAGTCGAGGGCGACCTGTTGGCTTCTCGATGATTTGGGAGAACCGCACTTAAATTTGCATAGACACTCGGAGTAGTGACTCAAAATACGTATTGCCGAACTCGGAACTTCACGTTTCTCTTTGTGGAACTGTGAACTTTTTCCACTCACGCACACCGACCAATTGATTCGTTTTTAGGAGGAGAGCGGCACAGAAAGTGTGACCGCCGGCAGTCTGCCAAGATATACCAGTTTTCTAAAAAAGCTTTGCTAAAGCTTATAGTTGTAAGAATAGTAGAGGCACTCTTTTTTAGTTTTTAGTTACATTTTATTATTATTTTTTGTGTATTATTACAATATCTTTATCAAAGTCCTAAAACTCAAAGATTGTTGTTGATGTAGTAAATTTTTACAATTTTATTTATTTTTTAGTGTATTTTTGGTGTTTGTACTTCTAGGAATGACAATTTCTTCTCTCCTTTTCCTATTTGTCATCCTTTTTGTTCTCATCGGTATCACATTTTTGATGTTTTTCTGCTTCTCTCTTCTGCTTTTCCTCACATTCCTTCTGTTCTAAGGCGTCCATACACTTTTTCTTAAACTGCGTGAAAACGCGTAAGACGTTCTCTTCCTCTTCTGATTTAGCAGTGCTTTCTCCTGCTCCGCATTTATCGTCCTTTTGTTCCTCCTTACACATTCTCTTAAGTGCTTCCTGTTCACACATTTTCTTACGTTCTTCCTCTTTACACTTTTTATTTCGTTCTTCCTCTTCACACTTTTTTTTTAGTGCTTCCTGTTTGCACTTTTTCTTTCGTTCTTCCTCATCACACTTTTTCTTTAGTGCTTCTTGTTCACACTTTTTCTTTCGTTCTTCCTCTTCACACTTTCTTTTTAGTGCTTCCTGTTCACACTTTTTCTTTCGTTCTTCCTCTTCACACTTTTTTTTTAGTGCTTCCTGTTCACACTTTTTCTTTCGTTCTTCCTCTTCACACTTTTTTTTTAGTGCTTCCGCTTCGCACTTTTTCTTCAATTCTTCTTCTTCACACTTTTTCTTTTTGTCTTCTTCCTCGCACTTTTTCTTCTTTTCCTCTTCTTCTTTTTTCTTTTTCTCTTCTTCACATTTTTTATTAGCTGCTTCAGATTTCTTCTTCTCTACTTCCTCGCTCTTCATTTTAGATTCCGCTGCCTTTTTCTTCTTTGCTTCCTCTTCGTACTTCTTCTTGGCCTCCTCGCTCTTTTTCTTTTCATTTGCCTCACACTTTGCCTTCTCTTTTGCCTTCATAGCAGCTTCTTTCTTCTGGCACCAAGCTTTCAGCTCATCTTCGGTCATATCCTCGATTTTCTTTTGTGGTTCCGCTGCATCCTGCTTTCCCTGTACCTTCTTTTTGATGTCCTCTTCCTTTTTCTTGCACCACTCATGTAGTTCCTCATCGCTCATGTCCTCAATATTCTTGTCCTTAGGCTTAGACTTGGCCTCCTGAATTTGCTTGGCCTGAATTGCAAGAATTTCGTCACACTCGCCTTCCAGTTTTTTCATTGTTTCCAGTTGGGACTCGTCATCTCCAGCTTCTTCATCGGCTTCTATCGATGCCTGAAGTCCCCCATCCAAGCGACGTTCGTCGCGCAGCTCCGTAGACGTGCAAGTTAGCTCCATAAACGAGAATCGATGATAGCCAAAGTAATGGGGGTTCTTGTAGGCCAGGGCTTTCCCAGCTCCTGGTCCCAACTTCTCATCGGGACCACAAAACTGGCGAAAGGTAGAGGGATTCACAAAGCCAGGCACATCCATTGCATCGTGATCCACGCTGGACGGCTCGTATCCCTCATCCGGAGGATCTTTTGGTGGATGAGGAGTGTTCGATGGTTTGTTGCTCAACTTCGGTTTGTCACACAGCCTGCGAAGAATTACAGGCCTGATTAAAGGTCGAAAAGGATTCTTCGACATTTTGGGTTTCTTTTTCTAGTATTGATGTTGGATCAGGAAAAGTTATTTCCAAAGGTTTCTTTGTTGAGTGTTGGAAATGATCTAGAATGATCAATAAAAAAGGGATTCGTTTTGAGACAAAACATTTGAAGTTTATTTTAGCAAATTCTTGAACTGACCCACTGTGCATTAAATGTAAAGTAAAATTCAAATCCAGAAAAGCTTTCTATGTTGTGTGTGAGAAGTTGCTAGTGAAACTACATGGTGCTTGTCCTCTCTCAGCTTTTGCCATAATATATTAGGTAAAGAGTTTGGTAATTAATGGATTTTGAACTTTCCGGGAGGTTCAAACCGATCGGCAAACTGGTTAAGGCCTTTATACGGGTTTCATTTTTGTTTTTTGTCTCTTTGTTTATAATAAAAAGTGCACACAACATTTTGGCATATATTTCGCTTGGCTGCCTTCAGTTTTCCTACATTCCCCCCAAGGAATTGAGATACTGCTGATTATCGTAGAATTATCTTTTTAACATTATCAACGCGGTTTACGAACGAGAGGTGTTGAGCGGCTTCGACCGGGATCCGAAATTTAGTATCCGTCCGTTGGGCCTGGCATTCGGTTGATTTCTCCCCAAAAAATAGGAACCTGGTTTGGCCAGGAATCCGCAATCGCAAAAAGATCTTGTCTGTTGACGAGTTAATTGCGTGTGATAAAAGATTTATATACCCGGGCTCAAGTAGCTTTATCAAATACTCGGTCGCTACTTTATCGCAATGAAGTGAGTCGTTTTCGTGTTCTTCTGGTTTCGGGATCGTAAACATATTAGCTAACTGATGCGCAAACAGAAATAAATGACGGAACATTTGCCCCATCTCAAATCCCGGTTAAGAAATTGTATATTTTTATCACTTTTATTTTTCGAAAAATAAAACAGTTACCGAGTAACCTCCTTGGGGTTTATTATATTTACGACCCGTGCCGTTTATCAATCAATCAATTCACCTCAAAAACAATCTTTAATTGCTTTTTTAATAGCGACGATATAAAAACTGTGACGGTTTACCCCACAACATTGGAGTTAACCAGCCCAACAAAACCAGCGAATGGCAGCAACGATGATTATGATCCTCACCAGCACCGTAATGTCAAGAATCCCACAACGTAAGCAATAATTTTCCATGATGGAGGATTTATGGAATATTTATCCAGTTTATTCTCCTTAGAAACTGGCAGACCTTTGCCCATTTCTTGAAGGCATCAGTGGGCACAGGGGTTCTGGCCATGCCCAGTGCTTTCGCCAATGCGGGATATGTTAATGGCACGATTCTCACACTGATCATTGGGTCACTGGCCCTTTATTGCCTGCATATATTGGTGAGTAATTGAGATCTTGACAAATATTTATTTACTGATCATTCTTTATTTTTCAGATCAGTTGCATGTACATTTTGTGCAAGCGACAACGAGTTCCCTATGTCAGCTTCTCAGAGGCCATGAATCTGGGCCTCAAACAAGGTCCACCCTGGCTGCGTTGTTTAGCCCCCATTGCCATGTAAGTAGAATGTTTTGGGAAAATAATCGCACTAACTATCAACAAAAATTCCCAATCATTTCCAATCTGCACGCTGAATTGATTATCTTTGTAAGTGGATTTTAATGATTATTGAATTAGGTAATACAATCTTATCTTGGCCTTAATCAGTTGTTTTTATTTACTATTGTACTTGTAATGATTTATGTTATTACTATCGTTCGAAATCGAATTCAAGAAAAAGTGGCACACATCTCAAAAGCTTTACCTTTCTTTTTTCGATTTAAATTGAGCTTTGAAAGATTATTATTATCGTAATTTTGAAGAGGTCACTTGGCTGATATTAATTTACCTATTAAACTGATCAGCAAAAGGTATATCCATTGCTTAGTTGGGATTGTTTAACTTAGTTAAAAAGAATTAAACATTTCATTTAAATTTCATTTTTAGACCCTTTGTAGATGGCTTCCTGGCCTTCTATCACTTCGGCATCTGCTGCGTCTATGTGGTTTTCATAGCTGAGAGCATAAAGCAGCTGGTGGATGAGTATCTCGTGGTGTGGGATGTCCGGATACACATGTGCATAATAATAGTGCCTCTCCTGCTGATATATAGCATAAAGAATTTAAAACTGTTGGCGCCCTTTTCCAGTGCAGCAAATATTCTGTTGCTAGTGGGTGAGTATTCTTAAATACTTTTACATTTTTATGGCTTATAAGTTTTAAATATATTTTCTTACTTCGCCAGGTTTTGGCATCATTTTGTATTATATATTTGAGGCCCTGCCTCCTTTGAGCGAACGAGAACCCTTTGTAGCCGTCACAAAGTTGCCTACTTTCTTTGGCACTGTCCTTTTTGCCTTGGAAGCAGTGGGAGTGGTAGGTTTAATTCATCCTTTAAGTATTAATAAACTTTTTAACCAAACCTATGTTTCTTGTATAAGATTTTAGCTATAGAAGAAAATATGGCCACGCCCAGGGCCTTTGTACGCCCCTGTGGCATTATGAATGGTGGCATGTCCATAGTCCTTGGATTGTATATACTCCTTGGATTCTTTGGTTACTGGAAATATGGTGATGAGGCCGAGGGCAGTATTACACTCAATATACCACAGTCTGAAGTGTGAGTTTTCCATAATAATAAAATAATTCCTTTTTCTAACATTTTTAAAACCTTTTTCAGACCCGCTCAAGTGGTAAAGGTATTCTTTGCCATCACCACCTGGATTTCATATGCCTTGCAGGGCTATGTTACTGCCCATATCGTGTGGGATAAGTACTTGGCCAAGCACTTCAAGGAAACCAGGCAGACACTCTATGAACTGATCTTCAGAGCTATCATAGTGCTTTTAACTTGTAAGTTGTAAGAAATTAAATAGTTTAGTTAAATTAAATATATTTTTATATAATTTTCAGTTGCCTGCGCTGTTGCCATTCCTGATCTTTCGGTCTTCTTGTCCCTGGTGGGATCATTTTGCCTATCGATCCTGGGTCTTATATTCCCAGCTTTACTGCAGATTTGTGTCCAATACACTGAGGGCTATGGACCATTCCGGATAAAGTTGATCATCAATCTGTTGCTCCTGAGCTTTGGTATTTTTGGCGGTGTTGTGGGCACCTATGTGAGCATAGTGGACATTATTGCGGTCTACAAATAACCTTCGAATTTGAGCTTATTCAATAAAGTTAATGGCTGCAATTGAGATTTATAGCGATTGGCCAATAAGCAAACACACTCAGAACAAACTTGTTTGGTTTATGGCCGGCATAACCAAACACTTTCCAAAATCAAGCTGCCAAAGTAGACCAAATATTTTTAATTTTAATTAAAAGCTTAGCACAGGGGTTGGCTGGGTTTGGTTTGGGGAAAATGTGCGGGAAAATGGGGAATGGGGAAAATGCAATGCAGCCGAGGAAGCTGGCCAGTTGCAACGAACTGTAATTAAATGCAACCGCAATTAACACAAAAGCGCCGCAGGTCAGCAAGCCAGACACAGAACTCAACTACCTCCCCTTCCGGAATCCTGCTGCATTTTATTTACAATGTTTTGCTCACAGGTTACTGACAACGCTCTCCTGCATCCTGCATCCAGCATCCTTGCAACCCCTCTGCCTCGACCTCAACCCCTTTTGGCAGGACCTCTTTGGCTGTCTTTTGCTTGTATGAAGACCACAGAGAGGCGGACTGGGCCGCAATGACCGCCGGCCCTAAGAAGCCAGAGAGAAGCCAAATGGACAAATGCCGGGATGCCAGAGCGAGGGACACTCAAAAAGATTTGGTTTAAAGATAAATAAATAATTTATTAAATTATTTAAATTGAAATTGGTATCATACTGCTAAGGAAAAAGAAGTCTAATTTCCGTTAATGATTTTCTTTATAGAAATATTTAATATTTGTCACATTTGCTAAAGCCACCCTCGCTTATGTCTCCCGCCTTCCCTCGCTGCCCCTGAAATGTGTTGAAATGTCGTTTGCTTTGTACGTTTAATTACTCTTTTGACGGAAATAACACAACATTCGTGTATTTGAAATTGGCAACAACAAACCGAGTGGGAAATAAAATAGAAGGGAAAAGGGTGGGTAAGTGCAGCAGAAAGTGCCGGAAAAATCGGGGAAAGCCAGATCTGGCAGTGCAAGAAAATGAAGAAGTTGCAAGTGAGCCAAAAAAATGACAAGCTCTTAAATTACGGCAACGAATTGAGGACTTACAAGTCTAAATGAGAACCTTTCCCCTAGACTTACATCTTCAATTTATTTTTCGCTCAGAGGGTCCCCTCATCAATTTCCCTTAGATCCTTTTTGCTTTGATAGAGCACATTAAATGACAAGATGTACTCTTGTGTTGCGCTTATTTATTTCACTGTTTTTATACATTTCCCCTCCAGTGGCAGGACATTTTAATTATATTTGTGCAGGCAGGCAGTCAGCTTTTAGTGCTTCCGGTCAGTTGAGTCCGGGGTCTGAGCAATTGAATTACGCACAATTCCAGGTGGTAGTAGGTAGTGGGTACATATGCCCCGGCCTGGGACTTTATATCGCTTTTCAGTCTAGTCCGAATGCGGAAAAGTTAATTAGAGAAAGTCATGAATAAATTGGCAATGAAAAACTTCATTTCGCATCCCCTCAGATTTTCGTTTCTGGATTAGTTCCCTTCTCATCTTTCCGAGGGTTTCTTTTCTTATTTACTTTATAATTTCATAAATGGCTGTGTTTATTTGTGCTTTACAATAGCTTCAGCCTCTTGATTTTGTTTGTCTTCGAAAATTATACACTTGATATTCTCTACTTAATTTGTGAAATGTTTAAAGACTTACCAAGGGATTATGGACTTTGACATTATTACACATTGATTTATTTATTTGATTTAAACACATTTTAATTGTTTGTAGTTTGTCAGTTGGAATGTATTTATGTGCGGCTAAGCTTTTGGTTTGTTTCCGTTTTCCGCTTGACAGACAATCGTTGGTTTTGGCATTTATTTCGGTTTATAATAATAGCAGGGCCAAATGGCCATTGATTATTCCAGGCAAGCGAGAACCATAAAAAAGTCGAATGGAATGCTAATAATCGTAAAACGCTTTACCTAAATATTTGATTTGGTTATTGATTTAGTTCTCTATGTATTCCTTTTGGTATCCTTCAGTTGGGTTTTATCTTTCTTTCTGTTTTCATAAATTTAAGAATCTTGATTTTCCTTCAAATTTATCTGTGGCTTACCTGGAAATTATTAAAAGTTTTTGGCAAGAGTTGGTTAACTTTTCCCCTTAAACTTAGCATATATTAAGCAGTACCTTCGACTATTCTTTATATACTTTTGCTGCCATGTTTAAGCTCAACTTACTCCCCGGCAGTCGTGCAACTCGTGTTGCTCTTAGCCCCAGTTAATTTTCCGCACAATCTTGTAACTTGTCAGCCATGTTTATTAGCCAGATTTGAGAGCAGCTAAGCCAGCTTATCACACATAACCCAAGCACCCCCATCATCCATGGCCACGGAAGTTTTCAGGCGATTTTAACTGCTTAAATTGCGGAGTATTCCTACTTGAACAAATGACTCATTTTTATTCATTCGACTAATTTTTTTAGGGCTTACAGAGGAGTCATCATCTGGCTGCTGGCAATTTGTACTAGCTATCGTAACATCTCTATCTCTATGCATCCAAGAGTCTCCAGCTCTGCCCTCTTACCCAGTCTGTCGGTGTGTGTGTTTACCGCAGCAAAATGATTTATTTTACGCTACGCTAAACACACACGTACCTAGAACAACAAAATGAGATGAGAACGGCAGGAAGCTGGGAGCACTGAAAGAAAAATCAGGTAACTCTTAAAAAGAGTCTGAAAATGTCAAAAACATAAAAGATGTCTGTTATTTTGGGTCGCAATATGTAACAGAAATCATGAGTTGTAAATTCCAATATATCCCTCAACTAAGTAGTCTTTTTTTCCAGTGCATCCTTGTGGATTCGGGGGAAGCTGCAGAGCATTGGCAACAATAGCGACAAGCGACGCATTGTTACTGCGGCCGGGGCTTTTCGGTTCGGTTTTCGCACTGAGGTTTTCTGTATTTATTTAAGCCCAAACATTTTGTACATTTCATGCAGCCAGACAGCAGGGGTGTGGAGGGGTTGCTTGTAACCGAGGGGGGTGGTAACAGCATTTGCTATGAATAAATAACGAACGAATGAATGAAGGAATGGATGAATGAATGGCTGCCTGGTTGGTGGGTTGGTTGGTGGGTTGGTTGGTTGGTTGGTTGGTTGGATAAAAGGATGGATGGACGGATGGATGGATGGGTGACGACACAGCTAGCGACGTGTCTCAAATGCGGGCATGTGATTTATGTTCTGAATGCATGGAACTATAATAATCATATGAGGGCAAAGGGGTGAACCGTTGGCCTTTCTCCAGGGACCCTGTTCATTGATTGTTGGCTAATACGACCTTGTACCTGAGAAACCCAAAACTTCTTCTTCTCCCCCACAAACTTGGGCCACTTTCACACATTGGCCGCAAATAACAGGCATGAAAAGCTGTCTGCAAAAAAAAGGGATCATTGTTATGTATGCCACATGTTCCCCACTTGCTGCTGATAAGCACATGGAAAAATTAAGCTGAATTAAAAGGGTTTTAAAGAAAGATTATGGAAAATAAATACAAAATGCTTTTTAATCTTATCTCATATTCTGGAACTATTTTTTAGCTGCAACAGCTTAACCCATTCCAAAAATCAATTTCTAAAAGAAATATATAATTTTTAAGTGTATTTTCAACACAGTCAACCAGCTGGGCCGGCAGAGTTTTTGTTTTGGGGCCTCAGTCGCTGCAGGTGCGTTAAACATTTATGAGCCAGCAAAGCGCAGATTTTAATAGGGATAGAAGGTGGCGGGGGGCTGAAATAACGGGAACGATAAGGGTAACAGCACCGCAGAAATGATTATGAATGCCCCATGTTATGCATAATTCATAATGTTAAAGTGACCCCATTGCGTATACGCAATAATCATACGCCATGTGGCACACGCCAACTACAGCCTGGCGAACCGCCTTTATTGGGCACTTGAGTTTTGTTCTGCGAATGCCCAAGGGCGGGTGTTTAAAGGATGGAAATCAATCATTGATTAGACGGAGCCAATGCAATGACCTTGGGCTCGGCGCTTGGGAGGCATAATTTCTGTATTCGATCCTAATTGGGTGTGCGCTTTCATTTCCTGCAACTAATTTGTGTGCGTTTGGGTGAATTAGTTTTTGGTCCCTGCACCGTCAAGTGCTCAACTGACAGCCACTGACAGTTATCGTCTTCATCAGCCGACAAACAAACATCATCATCATGGGGGAAGGCCCCCTGCCGCTGTCCAAGTTCATATACTTATATATAGATATCCCGCTGACGATGAGCAACTGTCATGTCATGAGCTCGCTGAGCTCGCACTTGGCATGTCAATGCTCTGCTTCCTGGCCCAAACCCTGGGCTCCCCCAGCAGCCAACCTTCAACCTGACGTCCCAGATCCCCTCCTGCTACCGGTGCCCGCTCTCGGAGCCATAATTTATGCCGCATGATTGCCATAACTCAATGGCTGCGCGACTGCGGCGAGCTGAGAATTTCACAGAAGGGAAGAAAGCGCGACAGCGATGTACACGGAAAAATTGAAAGTTTCTTCCTGACATTGAAAATTAAGTTATATTTTTATTGCATTTAATAGTTATATCAAAGAAGTTAATATGTTTAAGCCATTAATATATCAAAACTAAACTTGGAAATATGAGTTCTGATAGGTTTCAGCTTGAAGAAAAGTCAGTTTTCCTTTAAGTGTTTCGGGACCTTCAACTGTGTATGTGCGCGGCTGATGAAGCCCAATCGATAAATGCGATTCTCGGGTTTGAGTTTTCCATCGCCCTCCGCATTCTGGGCTGCGTTTTTGTCGCCGATTGAGCGAACAATTGCTAGATGGCGGCCAAGATGAATTGCCTGCAATTGTGCGCATTGCTAACCATTTGTTAGCCAACAAGAACAGCAAGGAGATGGCGACTTTAGAGCCGGGCTTAGGGGCATTTCACAGTTTCAGACCCAGTTTCAGATGAGGGCCAAGGCAGTTGGCATCAATGGCATCAGACAAATGGCATGTATAATGACCTACTCTGTGCCCCGATACAAGCCCATTAATAATTATGGTTATGGCCTTTTTTTGGCCAGTGCCAATGTTAATGGCCTTTCTGTGCCTGGTTCAAATCGATT